GCCGCGTCCCGCCGCCCCGCGCTCACCTCGGCCGCCGCCAGCGACGTCACCTCCATGAGGTTCACGGCGCGGAAGGCGAACACGGCCGCCGCCAGCACTGCAAGAGGCGCCACGTTAGGCCGCGCGCCCGGCAGCCCCCGGCGCGGCCGCTCCCGCTCCCGGGAACCAGCCGGGTTCTGCCTTGCAGGACGTGAACGGGCGTCAGGGCTCCGAGCCGCTTCGCTGCCCGTCCTGACCGGCACCAACAGCAGCAGAGCCTTGTGAAAAGTCTGAGGGAAAATGTTTCTCTCCCCTAGTTTTTAATGACCTTTTAGTCACTACTCATGACTTTTTAGTCATTATCATTAGAGTTTTTAACGAGTTTTTAGTGACTAGCTTTTAAATTTGAGGGAAAAGGTGATTTTAAATCCTTTAATTTCAGCCATTAATTTGCATTTAAATAGTATTTTAATAGTACTTCAGTTCTGAACAGTATAAAACATGAAACGAGAATGTTGTTTATACTATCTAATATTGCCACATAGAATGTTTACACTGGAAGACCATCCTATATTCCGATCAGAAAGCATCTAGCATTTTTGGAATGCTATTGCAGCAAGCAATAATAATAAAAAACAAATTATCAAAAATTACTTCGCATATTTTGCATAGAGATATACATATACATATAACCTTATTTATCTCACATTTCTCTATCTCTGCTATCTGCTTTCAATATTCAAGTCCAACTACATTTTCTCCTTTGCTCAAAATACATTTTAAGCTAACTGTATCTGCCTTGCATCTTCCTGGATTTAACATCTTTGGTAAAAATAATTTCCTTACCAGCAAGAATTTCTAGGGAGTTGTATCCTAGGATTCTGTCCCACAACAGCAGGAGCTGGTCTGTAGCTAAATAGCCAGAAAACGCTCGAACCATCCACTTAAATGAAATTCGTAGCCTGCAAACAAGTGATAAACAGTAATCATTATATTTCTCTCACCATGACCGCACAGATACCTTAAAATATTCTATTAAGTGAAAATCTTTGGCTATTTTTCTGTATTGCTCTCCCAGTGGCAATAGCCATCTTCTCTTGCAGTATTAATAATCCATTTTTGGGGATAGCCTTCAGAAAGCCATTCTCCATCTCCTTTGATAAAGCTCTAGTTTCATGAACTTAGGAGGTACTCAGTACTTAGTAGTACTTAGCATTTAGTAGTACTTACTACTTAAGAGGTAAACAACTATTTGCTTAGGAGGTTAACAACATTTTTTGGGATAACGTCCATCATATCTGATGTGAATTACTGAAATTTAGCCCAATAACATAGCATTCCTCACAGAAACACAAAGAACGATTCTCCTTTCCCACACAACAGGCATGCAGGACATCTCTGCAGCTTAGCCACAGGACGTGCACTGACTTTAAGGGAAAAAATGGCACATCAGTATTTGCACTTCCAAAAAAACTCTCACATTTTAAGTTAAAATGCTTTAAAAGGGCATTTGCAGCAGAGTTGAGCTGCAGCTTGAGCAGCGAGCCAGCAGCAGGTACTTACGGCTGGGCCCCAATTTCCCGGAGGTGATAGAAGAGCTGGGGCAGATGGGTTTGCAGAAGAGTCTCAAACAGCAAGCATAAGGACACAATGCCCTAATAAAATATGAATCATATCCTGAATAGTAATAGGACTGTAACATCTCAGAAACAGCATCAGCACAACATCCACGTGTTCTTAATTGAAGCAATAAAACTACTAATGACATAATTTACAGGCCAGGTGGACAGGGCATAAGAGCAACTCTAACACCTTTAGCCACCAAAGCCTTGATCCTTCAACTACAAGCAGGTCCCTTGCAGCCCTAAGTCACTTAGGGGATTTGTATGGCAGGGTCTGAGTACCTAGTGGCTTAATACAATATACTTAATTGCAATATGACTTGAAAATACATCCATTCTGAGGAAACACATCAGTTACACCACGTATGAGCTAAAAAAGCTGAGGGTGTCAGAAATATCTGATATATATTTAGTTATCAGTTATATCTGATAACTAAAAACAAACACCAATGAGTATAACTACAAAAGAACAAGTTAACATTTAAAAAATAACCTTATATGTGTGTGCACATATATATATACACATAAAAATTACCACGAAAATGATTTCACATTCCTGTCTGATCAGCTTCCCTGCTCCTAATGACTCAAAGTATATGCCCAGTTTCATAATGCTGCATTCATAAAAGCATTTGCTTTTAAACAATCAATGTTCTTAAAATGTAATATAACTATTCTGCACTTTTTAAAGGAGAAGAAAAAATATTTACTGCTTTTCAAAAATAGATAGTAAGTGCTATTTAAGACACCTGGCTATGAGCATAACAAAAGGTATTTAAATTCTCTCTCCAGCCTCCGGTAGTGGTAAAAAGCATGTGCTGTCCCACAAAGCTACATGAGTTAAATAAAGAGGGATTAATCTGAGATTACTGAAACTATACAGCAGATTACAGTCCAATCCCTCTGCCCCAGAGCACTTAAGAGTGTACTTACACGTCACTGATTAAAATAGCATTAAGTACCCACTTAAGGGATGTCTTGAACTGAGAAGTGTATTACACAAAAGTCCACACTATTCTATAGGCAAAGAAAGACCAACAATGAGGTAGAAAACTGAACTATCCAACCTGGAGTCACTTAATATTCTTTCAAAGGTCATTTGAAATACCCTATTTAAAACCATATATTTCAGTCATATGGAAAAGCAAAACCACGTCTCTGTGTATTATCATTCCACAGCAAACAGAGGATCAAGTGAGGGGGTGTTAGCTCTCCATGAACTTACAGAGGGATGAGAAGAGATGGAATGGAGCCTGAAGAAGAAACGCACGTACATCTCACGGAACATCTGATACAGCTTGGAAGGCTCGTGGTACAGAAAACAAAGTGGGGCCACTGCGAGGATTAAAGAATTCAATTGACTCAACACAGTAGACTACTAAAAGAGCTCAATGCCTAAGTGAAGTGGGGGGAAAAAAGTCATTTGTAGCAGCACAATTAGCAAAATCATAACTAACCACGTAATTAGATGGAGATTACATATTTGTTTCTACAGTTAAATGAAGAGAATGACACATTCTAAGCAATAACTTGATGCATTTAAAGAAATGAAGCCAACTCGAGCCCACTGCCTGTGGCATTGGCCTCCTTGGGCTGAGGGCCCAGTTTTAAGGACGATGTCGCTGGGCAATGTCAAGTTGAGCAATGCAAGTTTTGGAGTCAGCTCTCTCCAACCTGCTTCCCCATTCGTAAGACAGGAATAATTATAATTTTGTTCGAAAGCAGATATTATGAAAATTGGAATGTATTTAAAAACTGCTTAGGGATGCCACAATGACCTCACATGAGAGTGACTGATTTCCAGAGAACATTTTATTTGTTCTAAGATCTGAGAAACAGGGACGTTTTATAAGTTAAGAAGGCTTCCAATACAGCTGACTGAAAACCTGAAGTGAACTACACTTATAAAGCAGCAGCAGTCCCCAAGCTTCTGTTTTTGTTGTTTTTCCCCCTGTCTCTTTCCTCCCATTTCAAGAGCTGGCTTAGCAGAAAATACCGGCACACCTGCACCCGTAGGAGAGGTGTGAGCTGTTCACACAAATGTGTGTTTACGGAGGTTTGAGAAGAAGAGAAGGGTGTTACTGGTGTTCATGTGCAGGGGATGCAGGTGCAGGTGGAGGAGCTGGCAGGGTGCGCGAGCGCAGAGGGGCCGGGGCTGTGGGCGCAGCGCCCGCAAGGGCCTCGCGAAGCCCACACGTTTTCAGGGCAGCAGCAACGAGCTGGGGGATTCCCAGACACCTCCTGCCTTGGCAGCGCTGCTGGAGGCCGCGAGCTGCTCTGCGGGGTCCCTGGGACCGCACGTGAGCGCGGGGGGCTCTGGGGCCTCCCGTCCTCCCCTGCCAGCCTCCCTGCCCCGCTCACCGGGACAGGGATTATAAACACAAAGTAAACACAAACAGGCTGCAATTCTTAGAATCATCCACAGCAATCTTAACAGAGCAAGAAAGAGCACACAAAAGTTTAAAGGTTGCAAAGAAGTATATGTAGTTTTAAACTGAAACATGAAAAAAAGAAATCCTGAGTTATTACTTCAAAGTTTATATTTAAGTCACACTTACCATACATGGAAAAGCCATGGAAAGGAATTACACCTACAAAACAAAAAGATTTCTGTAATTCTGTGTGAGATTTCTTCATTCTTTTTATTCTCTCACATTTCTGTTTAGCCATGCAAAGTGTATGTTTTTCGCCCAGTTTCTAGATTGCATTCTGCACACCACAGGTGTAAAACGTTTCCTGTGTGAAGGCACCTGCGGTCTCAGGTCCTGCTCCTGCAAATATTTAAGTACAGGACCCGTATCGCCTGCTGCGATACGACTGTGTTTGAGCACATGCTGTGGCTCCCGAGGAGCCCAGCCCCGCGCCGCCGCGGCAGCGTAAGCCTCGCTGAAACCAGAACCTCATTCAGATAAAGGACAAGCAGAAAATGTCATGGGCTCACAAGGAGGGCGCAGGAAAAAAAGGAGGCCAAGAGCTCTGGTAAGTCACGAAGTGCTCACATAAAGCATTTGGAGGACTTGGCAGCTGGGCCACGGCAGTTCTCTCCTTTTCCAAAGGATATGAACTCCCATTCATTAATTTTTCTGGAGGACAGACCAGGGGGAGCTGTTCTGGCAAAAGGTCAGGGGGAAAATGCTTCCTCATTGCCACGCTGCGGGAGAAGCTGCAGAGGCAGGAATGGGAGCCGGGGAGCGAGCGCACGTGCGATGACTGACCCTGCTAGAAAGGCAGGAGCGGGAGGCAAGGGTAGAGATTTTGCTCCTTTCAAGAGCAAAAGGTTTGAACTTGCAGCGCAGCACGAGAGCAGGGCAGGATCGAGTGCACAGGGGTGGCCAAGGTCGAAATAAAAACCAAGAGAATTTTAGCAACTGAAGCAGCACCAAGGGCATTGGCATTAACTTAAATACATTTAGTTATGTTAGAATTTAGAAAGGAACGCAAATGCCAGAAGGAAAAGAGAAGCAGGTTGTAAAACACTGAAACAGGTCAGACGGTTTCAACACGTATCGTTCCTATCCCTTAAGTGACGATATACAAGCAGAATATAAGCTGCTGCACCAGAAGTTGTTTCCCCTCTCCTTCCCACACACACCGACAGACTCCATATGTAGCTATTGACACCAGCCTGACGTGGTTTTGGAGCAGAAAAAACAACCTAAAGCAAAAGCCCAGTTTACTACCTTAAATTAACAAATTTGGCAGAAAAACAGTGAAATATCATCTGTAATAGGAAAAGAAGTCAGTGGGTATATGTGGGGAAAATAAATAAATTGAAACCCTGCATTTTTCCAATCTACCACTAGAGGAGGCAATAGTGTAATTCTTACCATTTGGTGGATAAAAAACAGCATATTCTTCTACTCCAAGTTTTCCTGTGAATCATCAACCCACAAATAAAATAGAATTAAACTGTTTAACGGCTTGAAGATATAAATTAAAAATATAAAATTTGAGTGTCAATTATAAAAACTATAGCTAGTGACATTCCTGACATTTAATGTAGTCTAAAACCATGGAGGTGACACGGTAAGACAGATACAACATTAAAATGCAGTATAAAAATGGGCGGATGATTATCCATGATGTTCCATATTGCTGTCAATATTACGCCATATTGTCAAGGGTCTGGTTTTGATTTATTTGGGAAAAAAATAAAAATAAAACAAAAAAGAGACATAGAAAACTGCAGAAAAAGAACATCATGGTAACCTGATCTTCACGCAATCTGCGAGGACAGTCTGTGCACAAGGCAGTTGAATACACCACTTTGTTAACTCCTGTTATTTTGTGTATCTTACCACGTGTAATGAACATAAAGGAAATTCATATACCAGTTATAGCAGCCAGCAATGGAAATCCTTACACTCTTTTTCAGAACAACCTCCTTTACCTCGTATGTATGATTTAGGTGGGGTGGCACTGCTGTAGGCGAAGTGCTCCAGCACGGAGGTGTCTCGGGAAAAGCAGAGCAACACCTGTAGGGCACAGCACACAAGGCCCAGCTGACTTACTGCATTCATAAAACAGCGTGTGATTCATAAAACAGACACTAGCACCTGGCTTTACTGGCACCTATTAGGGGCTAACAGCTCCTGAACTTAATTTATTGCCCCCATTTCAAATTTCTGAACTGGCTGCTTTTATTTTCATGTTCATTCGTTGTCAGGACCATATCCGTGTTCTCCAACCCTCCTCTTCACCTCTGCATGTGAATTTACATGCAACTGCTATTTAGACTGCTCATTTTCCTATTCATTCCCTATGGCTGATGGAAAACATGGCAAATGAGTAGCCAAATGAAGAAGGATCATTCTAGTATGTGTGCAGGCCTAAAATCTGGCCCTTGCATTCTCACTCATTCCCAGAGGCCTTACAAAGTGCTTGCACTACATTTAGTTCTTTCAAAAATAATAGATTAGTACATTCATCCTGCAATCGTAAGGTCTGAGATGCATTTTGCATTTTGCAACAATCTGGTATAATGTAATATAGATCTGTTTACTTCTATAAAGGAACGATCTTGTATTCACAGCAATTCTGTATAAAATTAAATACTAAAAGCATTCCTATAAAAACAAAAATAATGTAGTCCTTCATACAGCTGTACTAGACTACATATATGATGGTTATAATTACGTTTTATGGCTGGAATAGTCTCATGTTTTCAGGCAATGAAAGCCTGCGCTGTCAGGACCGCACACAAGGGGGCAAAAATAAGGCAGTAAGAAAACCTGCTGTTGCCTCTGCATAACTGCTCCGCTCTTGCACAAGGCTTTTAGCAATGCCCAAGGTGTACATTGTTGAAGGGTTTTAAACGTTGTTTCACTACTTATTTTCTTGTTAATTAAAAGAATGATATCCTTCAAATAATCATTGCAAATGTCGCTCGGATGTCCGTATTTGTGATGGAAACATTAGAGAAAAATTGTGATATGTGAACACTCCTAGTTCATTTTTTTTTGAAAACAGATCACATGTTGAGACGCTATCTTTTTTTAACGGAAATCTTAAAGCCACTTCTTAGATACAAACATATTTTAAAAAATAAATAGTCTCTTATCTTGAACAGTTTAAGGTAAATATTTTCTTTACGAAAGGCAATCATTTTCACAACTGCCAAAATATAAGTGACAATAACAAGACACAGGCAAATGTAATACTCTGCATCTGTCTCTTACCTCATTTACTCTTACCAACATATACTAATTTAAAATGGACATAAATTATTTTCTCTCATAGAGGAAAGAATGTAACTGTAATACATGAGGTTTTTTTTTTTGTTTTTTTTTTCTTTCTTTCTTCTTTTTTAAGGATACTGCATCCAGTACTGGTGTCTGCAAGTCTTTACTTTAAGTTAAAACTAGGTATCTCTGTAAGAGGCAGACTGCAGCTGAAACGTAAGTTATGACTATATGTAAAAACCATTGCGTGGGGCTCTTTGCATGCATTCGTTCTGCAGGATGTTAGATAAAAGTATTTGCAATGATGTTATATAAGCTCGTCAACTCTTTTCCTTATTTGCAAAAAGGATAATGCTAAAGAAAATCATACAAACCCCTTTTTAAATACACAAATATTTGACAAACTGTTGGATAACAGGAAAAATCAGAAAGAAAAACAATGCATAAAAGGAATGATTTTAAGGGGGAGGCGGAGATTCAAAATTTCCCCCAAATAAATGTGCTTTTGTTTATTTATTTTTTGCTTATTTATCCTGTAGATTACTGGCAAGAAAGTTTCACAAAACTCTAAAACCAGCAAACAAAAAACCCTATTCTGGTTACATGTGAATAATGAAATTGAAAGGACTGTGAAAACAGTAAGTTTGCTGCATGACATTAAAGTTGACACTGCAATCAACTACACATTAGGGAATTCATAAATGTAATCTCCGTCTCTTTAACGAAATCTAATGGGCAGCAAACAAGATAATTCTGTATAAATTGGTTGGTTTGCCTGTTGCCAAAAGCAGGTTCAGAATGCAGAGAATGCTGAAAATAACCATACATACCCTTAGCAGAATCAGAATTAATGCTTTCAGTTTAAATACATGTCAATACCTTTTACATTATTCTAGTAGATGACTGCCAAGCAATATTCCTATCTTTAATCTGGAACATGAATATGTTTTTCAAGTCTTACTTTCACTGTATATCACAGCTTCTGTCAGTATTTTACTACTGTAAAACTGAGAGAGGAAGAATGCAGCTGGTTTCATGTTTTCTGGCTCACTACACTGAAGAAGACTTAGCAGAGGAAACCTCAAAGCAGGAGTGCTAGAAACTCACCTTGCTTCACCTCTCTGAAGATTTAATTCATGCTCAGAAGGAAAAAAGACATTTCTAATGCAGCAAACATTGATGCACCTCTCAAGAGTCCCACTCTACTCATGTGTCCACACATGAAATACAAAGGTGGCCCTCACTCTAAAGATTGTGTTATCCCAGAGAAATGTATTTCCTAGCTTTTCTATAGAAAAGTTTTTTAAGGAAAAATGTCTAACCGAGTACATACCTGATATAAATAATCCTCAAATACAAAATAGTAATCATCATTGCTTGCTGTAAGCTTGACATCCTGAAATTAAAAATAAAAAAGGTACAGCTAAAATAGTTGGAAGCTGAAAGCCATCTCTTCAGACTCTCACGGATTAGAAAATCTTTGGACCCCAATGTCTTCTTCCTTCCAAAGGAAGCTATTCCTTCTGGAGACCCATTTCCTTACGACTTCACAGTTCAGTTCAAACAAATGTCTTGCACTAAAGCTAGGGTTCAGTCCTACAGAAATGGTCTTCTGAGGATTCTGCACAAGGACTGAATTTACAATAGTCCTTAGTTCAATAGTCAACAGTCTGATTATTCCTACAGACCTTAGAAACCAAGTACATAACATTTTCTTCATTAAATATACAAATACACCCACATATACATACCCACAAAGATAAACATTGTTGCAACGAGTACATAATCATTTAATCACTGTTTAATGAGTTACTTACTTTATAAATCAGGCTGTCCACTAAAAGGTTGTGCTGAATCACATTTGATTTAAGCTGTTCATAATACAGGATATCCTAAAATGAAAAATACTATTATTTTCAGCGTAAGAAAAAAAAAAAGTTAAATTACACCTGAGTTACTAGTTTTTCCCAGTTATTCAAATTGGGGATGTAAAGTGCTAATAAAAGTCATGAGAAACTACAAAAAGGCATTCAACTGAAACGCCTATGGCATATTTGATGTAGCACCACATCACTGTTTATTCAAATTTAATCTGTAAGGAATGAGGCAGATATTTCAGTCTTCATAAAATGACAGAGCTTTCTGTTTATTCATATTTTAGAAAATTAGTAATTGAGGTAGTTAATTCAAACAAAAGATTTGAATTCTCTCTTTTCAATGTTCAAAATCTTTTTTTTTTTTTTTTTTTTTTGGATACCTTCTGCTTTTACATATTTCTTCATGAATACATTTGGTCACAACTTCCAGCATTATTGAATTGTTGTCAGAATTTACAATCTAATCTAGTATGAATCTCTAGACAGTTATCCAGATAGTTTAGTTAAACACTAAAGTGATAAAAATATCAAAGACCACACAGAAGTCAGACAGCTTTCTAAAACTTCAACTACTTTTGAATGTCTACAGAACATGCACTAGGCTGAATCAGTGGGAAAGCAAGAGAAACACACATTTCTCTGCTTTTATTATATCCCCTTCTTCTTAGAAAGAGCTTTCAGGGGAAAAAAAATTAAATGTCATGCTGCCATCCCACAATCCCTAAATCCCCAAACAGCTCTCTGCTATTGTGTCTACAAATGAATACCACAGTCTCAAATTGTTTTAGATGGATTTGGAATGATTTATAAATTAAACCAGCAATCCCAAAGGTCTTTCCCACTTCATGGAACTATTTTGACTTCAATGGTCTCTACAAACACCACAAAACAGCTTGTGTGTCACAGGATTTAGATAGTATTTGCTGCTGAAGAGGCAAGTCTGTAGGAAGGATTTAAAGAGCAAATGGAAGGAAGACGAAATTTGGAGAGAGCATTATAATGGGAGAGAACAGAGAAAAAAAGTAGGAAAAAAGCTAGGAGACATTCTAACTGTTGTTTGCATCATTCTGGTACTGAAGTGTGGCAATTAATATACAGTCACAAACCTATTAGAATTAATACAATTTTACACTGTTAATTTGAAATAAGGACAAATACCATATTGTTTAAGTACAGATACACACCATATTTTCTTTTTCTTTCTTAAAAAAAAAGGTGGCATAAACAACACAGTGTGTGAATGCAATCAAGATCTGTGAAGCTTAATTAATTTGTGATCATATCTCAATCTGAGTTCTTCCAATGCTACATATATGCAAAAACACTGTGCACTTAAACTGCACGTTTTTGCAGTGTTTTAATTGCATTTAACCAGACTTTAAAGCCAATACCATGGTATTTTCAGGTTGCTACTATCTATCCCTTATGTTTGTGTGTTATCTGCAATTCAGCAGAAAGCCAGGCAAGTTTGCAGGCTTTGGTGACTCTGTGCACTACAGCGTTTTCATTCTTATCCTAAAAACAGTGGTGTTGGGAATTGCTGATTTTTCTCAAGAAGCCAACTGAGTTGCAGACAGCTTTTCAGTTGTCACTTTTAAAGACCAGTTGGTCTCAGAACCAGTGATGTTTATGAAGAGCCTAGATACCTTTTTGTTCTACAGCATATTGGAAGCTGGACTAGTTTTCATAAGAGGGACGGCACGCAGATCATCTTGTTGCTGCTTTCTAAGTAGTTTAAGGTACTCATCATTAGGTAATCACCTAATTTGTCTTCTTTTAATTAGAGGGCAAGAGGATGGCAGGGATATTGATAATTGCTTCACATCAACAAAATGGATTAAAATATTCTTTAATTTTACAGAATTTACCCCAGTAGTGACAGAAAGCAAATGAGGCAGCAGAAATCCCCAAAAATAATGACAGGAGAATAAAAGGGACAGAACTGGGATGTCCTTCTTTCTAAATGACTTCACATCCATGCTGCAAATTCTCTTCTCCCATGCTGCCTTGACACCAGCTTCTTCTTCAAAACAGTTTTAAATGCTACTAAATAATCTTTTCAAATGTGAAAAAGGGTTTCTAGTACCTAATAGTCTCCTAATCTCATTCCATTATTTTTTATTCTCTTGAAACTCTCTTGAATAGTTTGAGAGGCTGAGGGGGAAGCAAAGGAAGAAAGGGATACGAAGGGAAGCAGAAATATTTTGCTAGACAGAGTAAAGCACACTCTCAATTAATAAGCAAAAAGAAGGTTTCTTAAAATACTCCTATTTGAAGACATAATTTGTCTCCGTAAGCCCATTTTTATATATCACTGGTCCAGTGTTTTGTACTAAACATTTACCTTGCTGAATCAGCGAACAATTCAGTTACATTTTGCATAAATTAGGAGCTTATATAGATTTTCCTCTTACAGTCACTAAAATTATTATAAACAATAAGTGAAAATTAATCATTTCTACAGTCCACTGAACTTCATTAAAACCTCATTAAAATATTTATTAACTTCATATGCCTTAATTCAACTATATTATTAATGTGAATGTAAAGAATCAGGTTGATTGCAATTATCTACAAATTATGGTTCTGTCTAACCAGTGATGTCCACAGAAGAAAAACAGAAAACTGATGAAAAGAAGTAAAATGGAAGAGGTTTCAGCAAAAGAGTGTACTCCAAAATCACACATGCATTCAAACATTTTGCAATATTTTTGCTGGTTTCTTTTAACAAGGAGCTTAATAGGAAGCTATTAAAGAGGAAGCTCAATATAAATCAATTCTTAAGATATGTGTATGCATATGATAACAAGCTGGAATAGGCAGGAAAATTATAGCAACTCTTGTTAACAAAAAAAGTGAAGACAGGTTCTATTCTCTTCCCAAGTTCTATCTTGTCTCCTCCTGAAAAAGTCAGCATCATAACAGAAAATAGGAGGAACTAGTTGGAAAATAGGAGTGAGTAGCTTTGTTCTACTTCTATGTTGTTTGTGTATCTGTCTAAAAATTAGTAAAGTGCCTAAAAACTTCAGCACAGCATAGAGATTGTTTTCCATGTAAACACGTGTGTTTTTCTTGTAAAATGTCTATCAATCTCTGTGATGACTTGGTAGAGTTTTCCTGTTTTGGAGAAAGATCAGTAGAAAAGATGTGTTGCTAGGTTTGTGCTTTCACTTTATATTTTAATTTCAGCTAGCTCCTTACCTCTGGCTGATTGGAAATGTTCAGAATGAGAGCCCACAGCTCAGCTCGGAGCGCCGTTGGACATCCCTGACGAACGTACTGCTGCGCCGCAGCACTATCCTGCTCTGCTAAAACTGCAAGGAATAAAGCACATCATGGACTGAGGTAATTTAATGCTACTAAAGTCTATCAAAATAGCAAGTTAGTTAATTCTTAACTTTATATTCTTTTAAAAATGTTCTGTAAATTCATATATTTTCCACAGCCTATGCCAAATCTGCACAAAAAGAATCACTACTCTATTCTAAACCAGAAAAAAAAAAACCTCTGCAGCCAACATTTCAATTTTATCTACTTAGAAGAGCATAAAAAAACCACAGGAACTAAAGATGCTATCCTTAACAAATAACCTATTTCACTAGAATTTGATCCACTCCTTTTATTTTGTTTTTCCAAACCCATATTAGTTCATTATAGCTTTACGTGCAAATAATGCTTTGGCAAGATTGAGTTTAGGCCATGCCTGTTACACTGAGAGAATGTCAGCAAATAAGTTCAAACACTTATTTAACGATTAAAGCGTATGCATGCAGGCATCAAGAAAGCCAGAGAGAAAAATCAGTAATTGAACTCTTTGGTGGATCCTTGAAGTGCAGTTTAGCCCTACGTACCTGTAAGGGGACAGCTCAGGAACAGGACACACAACCTGGTTTACCCTGCTGTAGGCCTTAGCTAGTGGGATGCCACAATGTAGGTCTTAGTAGGTCTTAGTGCTGGATGCCACAATGTAGGTCTGAAGTAGCTCTCAGTCACAGAAACACTTCGTAGGTATTTTCTATAGATGGGCAGCAAGTGGAGCAGTACAGCCACAAAACAGTCCTGTGTTTCGTAACTATGACTAGTTTCCACTGGCACTACCTGTATGTGTATTTTTATTTTTCCCAGAATGGTCTCTCTTTTTCAGTAGGAGATTGCCACTTCTCTTTTTAAACATCAACAATCTAAATTTCTTGACCCATCACTATGGGCAAGAATTTTCCACTTTGGAGAGAACTGTCATGTTTTCCCATTCTTGGTGTACGTACTCTGGAGATTAAAGATTTTCTTTCTCCACAGACATAGAGCTGATGCTTATTATTAGCTTATTATTAGCTTATTATAAGCTAATGCTTATTATATATATATATATATTTATATTTATATAAATATATATAAAACCCAGATTATTTCATTACTTACTTAAATGTAAGGAGTTATAAGGTAAACACCTTTAGCTATGCCAGTCCAGGAAAAATGTTGTCATTGATGTTACGTGATCTACTGTACCCTTATACTTGGATCAGGATGATCCAGAAGATGAGGGATGAAGAAGAACCACAGAAATAAAAATATGGAAGAAACTCTGCCTTGTTAACACAAGAACACAAGGGATAGAGGACTTTGGGGAAGCTATTAAACCTTTTTCTTTCTTAATAGTGATGATTTAGCAGGAATCACAAGAGACAGTAAGGAATAAACATTGATGGCTTTCAAACATACTTTGTATGTTTCCACTGTGAGCAAACTTGGGCTAATGAATGATCATTTCTTTTTCCTTTCACAGATAATTTCTCAACCTGCAGGAAAAACAGGCATTTGTTTCGAAAAAGCTGTTTACAGGGACAAATCACTGAATTTTCCATGGTTACCAAGTATTGCAGCATTTATCAAGCTCTGCACATAACCATCAAAAAGAATCTGTTCTGATGCACAGGTGTAAAACCCATTACACTAATGAGAACTGTGTGTGCAGAGAAGGGAGTGCAGTCTCTTTGGATTTTAAAATGAAATTCAGCAGTGGCACAGGTTAACTCCTCATCCAGAAGTTGTGTGTCTGTGCTTCCTATTTAGTTTTTAGTCAATCATCTGTGGAACTATTTATCTGTACCTACTGGTAGATGGTAAATGCTTCCTTGTCTGTCTTGGAATAAATTACAGTGGCATTACTCACTGTTTCACTGATTGAAATACAAAAGCTACATACAGATAGAGCATTACCAAATGCTATCTTGCTTTCTTGGTTTATTACAGATGAAAACAGATCCATACCTTTTTGTCCAACACGTACATGCTCATTTTCAAAGAATTCTAGAAAATAAATAGAAATTAAATGCAAAAATTAAATAAGAAGAGATATATTTTATATTTTTACTATGTCACAATGCTCTGCCCATTTTTACTGCTGGTGTTACTAAAAATTAATTTACATCAGCATTCTATTATCCATTTTTATAGTTTTTAAGACCTCTTTCTACAGGAATAACGGCTGCATACAAGAAAAAAACAACAGTAGTTAGACACTATTTATGAGAATGAATATTAGTATATGTGCATTCTTTTTTAAAGACAGTCATTAAAAAAATGTTGGATATATGCCAATCTGTGACAGCAGTGTCATACTGATGATTTAACATATATTGATATTTTATGCATTTCTGAACACAGTCAATTTTTTCCTCCAGATTTGATCCTGAAATATATAAACACCTGAAGTGAATATAATTACAACCTAACTTGGCAATTTTTAGTCTTCAAAATCAGCTCTTCATGTTTGCTGAATTATCTAGAATTAGCGATATTCCATCAAGACAATCACTGTTGTCACAGCTACAGAATAAGTATTTATGGTTAATTACGTAAAAAAATACACAAATTATTTGATAACTGCACAGTATTGTACTCATAAGTGTTCTATTTAAATGAGTGAAGTACAGCATTAGCTAACCAGGAGGCACTTGTGCTGAATCATCAATACCCAGCTGTCCTATATTTAAGCCTAGCTCACTGAAGTCTTCTTTCTGAAAAGAAACAAACATAAAAAGCAAGTACTTTTTTTTATATATTCTTTAAGACACTAGATATTTCTTCTGAGAGAGAGTTAATGCAAATATTTTTAAAACAAACATACTTATTTTAAATGTATGTATGGGAAATTTGAGCTCAGGTATTTAAAAACGGAAAAAGAATATTACACCAATCCTTATTCTAGTTTCAGTTATAAGCCTCAAATTTCAAGTCAGTTATGGACTAAACCTCGTTTAAATAAACTGATAAATAAAAGATCAGGTCACACCTAGTATTTGATGCTGTTTTCCAACCCGAATGCAAGTTGTCCCACTAACATAAAGTTCTCCAGAACTTTTATCACTTTAAACTCTCCTGTTCTTCAGTGCTAATACTGCTACCCAAACGTTTCCTCTCATTTACAGCCAACTGTGACGGATTTCAAGGGAAAACAAAAACTCATTGTCAACTTATTCATTTTGTGAAATGTGTAACAAAACAGTAGAACTAATTGCCACGAAGTATAACTGAAAGAGCTCTGTAAGATTAAAAAGATTTTATATACAGAAATCTGTATTTCACAAACATGAATCACATATTTACAGTTGTTTCACAGAAAACACAGTAAGTGAAGAAAATGTGCAGCAGGTTTTTTTTCAGAAATTGACAGTGATCTGGGTAGCATAAAACAAAAACTCCGCTCTTTGTGGATAATTTACTGTTTATGTATGTTTTATTTTTCAATACAAATATCTTTTTTAAAGTCTTTGTTTTCTCTGTATTTTAACTGCTGATCCCCTATATGTTCATATTGATTTTGATTTTCAAAAGGAGAAACTTAGCTCCATATGAATATACTTTACTAAACTACTCTGGTTAGTATCTTATTAATCAGGCAGGCAAAACAATTATTTTAGAAAACTCTTGTAAGAAAGAATTACTTACCAATTCTGGAATATCTTTGACTTTTAGAGGAACTTGAATTAGCCCCAGATGATTCCTGAAACTTGGTTGTTCTCCATTTTCATAATTTGGGTTTCGAAGATTCATCAGTACCTTCAGAACAGTAGCTCTGTCATTCTTTGCACATATTCAGAAATTTACATTTATAACTGCTCTTAATATCACCTGTATCACAAACTCCATGTTAGGCATAAAACCGTCTCCTGCAACCATCATACACAGGTCCAAATTTTACGTAAATATTTTCAAAGCAAAAACAGAGCCAGATTTTCAGGAAGCAAACACATTCTACTTTGAAAAGCAAGCCCACATTAGGACCTTTAAACGCATGTGTAATTTTTGATACGTAAGATTCAGTTCTGTCTACACTGAAACAGCTTGACTAAAACTAGCTTCTGAACACCAAGACTGTATTTCTGATGGCTACAAATTCTGGCATATTCTTCAGTATCACTTTCTGAATTTTTTTTTTTATCCCTTTTCTTATATTGGCAATCCTCTGTAGCATTCAGTCAAACTGCTATGTAATTTGCTACTAATATAATTTCTTTCCAAATAGCATTGCCCCAGAACATCTTCCTTCATATAAGGAGAAATAATAATAAAATAAAACCCAAAAACTAAGAATAAAATTTAAGAGAAAAAGAATCAGAGCTTTAAGACACATAACTGAGATATATAAAAGGTTGTTTCAGGGCTCTAGAAATGCTCATAGTTTTGTCATTGTGAAAATATACATAGGAACAATCTCTTAAAAAATAAAAATTCAAAGATACTGGAAGTCCTTTGTAGCACAGCTTTCTATGATATCATTCCCTGTGCAAGGATCCCGTCACATCACTCTGGCTTTTTTAGGCCAATAGGAATTTGTACTGCTAACCAACCTGCCTAAGACTTACCAATTACTCTTTCCACTTCACCTAAATGACTCTAATGGATCAAGTCAATGTTTGGATCATTGCCTCATGAATACTTACCTCAAGAAAATCTTTAGGTGCATAAACAGGCCGGAAGAGACTTAGATCTGAAACAAGATTTCAACAATGCTAAGTTAAAACTAAAATAGACGAAAACCAGGCAACTTGATTGTGTCTGTGACAGCATTTATTAATCTCAATAATATATTACTGCAAAGACTAAAATATCATTGCCGATACCACAAATACAACCAGCACGCATTCTCCAAAGTTATGTTACTGTTGGTCAGTGCCTCAGTTCTCTAAAATACACGTATTTAACTGAGCAGAAGGTGTGACAAAGACTGCTTTTTAACATGGTATACTGTTTGTTAGATTAAACATACTACAGTCAAATAAAAATGGGGAATAGTCATAGACAGTCCATAACATATATTAGATCTCTCTTAGGTGGTACTGAATGGGATACAAATTGTTACCTTTGCAAAATCATTTCTCTTGATTAACTTGGATATTACCCAATTTTGGTTATTCTGCTCTCCCAAAGGGTAATATGACTATTCTTGCATTATTTTTATCTTTTGCTAACAAAATGACTGAGCAAAACTATCTATAGTGATGAAGTTTTTTTTTTTTTCCATTTATTCTAACTCCATAAAAATAGGAGCACTGTACCAGCTGCATAGATCACTGAAGCACTGGAACGATCAGACCATAATCTCCCAGGGAAGAATCAGTTAGAACAACAGCTTGAAAATAAAGCGACAAATGAAGCAGATATTTACTTATGCACAATGAACCTCCCAAAAAAAGAAAGACAGAAATAGGTTTTCCATAAATTCATTGTGTCCATTTTCCCTAATATCTAAGATGTACATGTTGATGTTGTTTCTCTGTGTATAAAATGCACATAAGTTTAGTTAATCTTACCAGGCTCATCAGTTCCCATTTCATTCCATTTATTAAGCAGCTCTTTCTGTTCACTCGCAGGCCGCTGAAAGGCACAAGAAAGCTCTTCAATGTTAACTGAACAGGTCAAAACATGCTGTTTCAGACACATAAATAAAGATAATAAAATAAAATAAAAATAAAAGCATTTTTAAGAGAGATTGTACTAGCAATGCAAACCTATTTTGCTTACAAATTATCCCTAGTCTGAAAATATATTTTTTCTAAGCATATAAGGGATGTAGTCCAAGGAGAAGAAAAAAAAAAAAACAAAAGCCATTAACTAGTTTTGCATGTTTACTAATGAAATTTTAGGCCACTTACTAGTGAGGTTCATACTACTGAGGCTTTAGTGATTACTCCCTATAGCTGTTAGATTTTGTCACCAGATTCATCTTTTGAGGCACAGTTAAGAAAGGCAAACACACATAAGAAACCCCAAAACCCCATGTAATAAATCATGCTGGTTATTAGAGACATACACCAGCAGAACTGTAAAGAACAAAACATTATGCAATTCTGAGATCTTCATAATTAAACAACCTCTAAATGAATGAATAAACCATCATGGAAGGAATGCTAAAATATTCTGTGTTGATGTACCAATACTGCCCTGTCCTAAAGTGCCAGTTCAGCTGTTGCCTTCTCCAGCAAAGTACAACTATATTATCCACAGGCTGTGCAGTTATAGGTTATATAGTTCACCCTGCACAGAAAAATGCTCTAGAGAAAGCAATGAATGTTGCAAATTAAGATAGCAAGCAGCTCTCCAACCTGCTGCTCCCTAGAGAGGACAATTACTGCAAGAGAAGATGAAGATCAACCTACACACTTCATCTTCTCCGGAGTTCAATGGGTGCATATGCTGTCACTCTCTCTGGAAATTATTCTGTACTGAAATGAGTTGGATAACAATCTTGCAGCTCTCAATAACCATGCGCAAAATGAACATACAGTATGCAAAAACAAGCTTCATTTCCAAAAATGTCCTTTTGGCAAGAGAAAGCTATTAATACATTACCTTCTGTGCTAATGGGATATTGAGTTCTGTGCACATGCTATTAAGGCTTTTTAGAATTCGCTTCTCCCAACTTCCCTGAAATATTAAAAAAAAAAAAAAAAAAAAAAAAAAAAAGGAATATAAGCAGCTTTTCAAAGTCATCTGGTAAGAAAGAATAACAATGTCAATGCCTGCTATCAGCAAAATGATGAAGAAAATGCTTACATGGTTATTAAAATGTACTTAATAATAAAATGGAACATTTTTCTATACCACCGTCAAGATCCATCACAACACAGTTGCAGAGCGGTTCATGTGTCTGATCTCTAAAGAGCTTCCATTTCACAGCCATTACTGTTTAATGCTCAAGCTCCCTTGCATATCAGCATCCAGATTTTTTTTCAGAGGAAAAAAAATCTTTTTTTTTTCCAAAGAATTTATAAGTAGCAAGATGGGCAATGAATTATAGAGGATAAGTAATAAGCCAAGTAATGACTTTAAAGAATATCTCCTCCATTTTAAGTCTTTCTGCTCAAAAGACATTCTAGACGGTACTGATTTTCAAAGAAACTCAGGAATTACATAATGTTCAAAATTAGTTCTTCTAAAACAGTATTCAGAAGACAGTTCTCTCATCAAAGAGAAAAACAGATGCAGGAAATACCTTAATAGAAAGAGAAAAGCTTAACGAAATAGATGTGACTATTGAATTAGACTTCAAGTATTCTATACAGTGCCTGATCTAGGAACAATTCCTCTGAAGTTAATACGAACTGATATTACTCAGTTTACTAAAAATTTTGCTCCTGTGATTACAGCAGCACTGATGAGATTTATATGTGATTTAATTTTCTCTGGATGATGAGTCAAGCCTCAACCAGATGAATGCAAAGGCTCCAGTTAATTTCATTTAGCTCTGTTCTATTTATTACTTGCTATTTGCTCTAGCCACAAATTCTGCAATAGTTAGCTGTTGTCTAACTAGATGTTCTTAAAGTTTAATGCTTTATCTGAAAGAGTCTGCAGTTTAATAGACAAGAAGCAAATGAAAGGAAGGGCAAATGTTCAAATGGAATGGAAGGGAGGGGAAGGGAGGGGAAGGGAGGGGAAGGGAGGGGAAGGGAGGGGAAGGGAAGAGCTACAGAAGAAGCCCAGAGGAAGAGGACGGGAGTTCAGCAAGACTCCCATCTCACTCGAGCGACGGAGGCTCTCACTCCCTGGCAAGACTGACACCTGCCAGGCCAGGCATGTTAATCCTGGGCACTGTGCTGCTGCAGAGCTCTCCCACATCTCCAACCACTTTTGCAGTGAGGTCAAGGAGTAAAACAGTTAGAGGCTTGCCTTTTTCTTTTTCTTTTTTTTTTTTCTTCTCTCATCTCATAAAAATACAGATAAGGAGAAAGTCAACATTGAAATCTAATCAATTGTAGAAATGTTCCAATTCACACCAAGCTCTGCTGCGAGTGTAAAACAAATTAACAAAAGTCCACATTTTTTAATTTCAGAATCCAACACTAACATTTCAGCCTTTATTAAACACTTCTAAGTAATAATTCTGCTGTTTTACAAGGTGGAGAGATTTAAGCTGTGCATCAAAAGTTGTAAGTATACTGAAGAGAATGGTAACTCAGAAAATACCAGAAATGTGAAACCATCTGATGCTTGAAAGTTGTAAACATTGCAATCTACATTTTTCAGGGAAAAGAGCTGTAGCGTTTTTCTGTCTAGGAAAGGTCTAACAGATCATAGGCTGAAGCCACTGCATCCACCAATGTATTTCAGCCCGAAGAAAGATCTCAAGAACACAATTAGAAAATATACCATAGGTTGCATTAATATTCAAGGATATGTAGATACTTATGGCAGTACTTTTTAGAAATTGGACAATAATACAATTATGTGAATAATATACATCACTATTATTCATTTTCATGAATGTTCCACCCTTTCCTATGGAGGTGCTTTACTGAAGAGAATATAAAATGCAAGTCTAGCTTTAATTATGAAAATTTTAATATCTATCCTTGAAAAATACAGGTTTTAATTATGGTTCTTTGAAAATAACTCCAATACTGATAATATAGCAAGTTGGTTTTCAGACAGTACAATCCTGCTTTCCAGAATTCTGAAGATGAGAAAAATTAATTAAAATAGGAAAGAATAAAGAAAATGTCAATTAGTTCTTAGCAATGGAAATAGAATCTTACATACTGTCTGTACATAATAAAAATAAATGCATTGTATAAAAAATGATTTTTTTATCAGGAGAAATTTTGTTGACGCTATCAAAATATTCTTTATTAACTGTGATGTTATAATGTTAAAGGACAAACAAGCTTAAAAAAATCAACTTACAAATAAAGGAAAAATAATTGTTTTTATAGGAAAAAGGATAATATTTCCATTCCTTTTCATAAGAAAGGGAAAATAATTGTATCAGTAGAAAAAAAATTTCTACTGATAAAACATGAATTAGATTTCTGATACCTAACAAATAAACTAGTGAGTTTCCACTTTTATTTTTATTATTTTATTATATGGGATATATTATATGGGATATACTGTATGGGATTTTATTATCCCAAAAGTATTAGCAAATTGTGTATTTTCATTTTGGCTGTTTGCAAATATTTTAAACAAATAAAAAAAGAAACAAACAAACAAAAAAAACCCCACAATTCCAATATGGTAACACTCGCTTTGGAAGCACTCACTTTGTTTTTTCTTTTTTTTTTTTTAAATGGTTATTGTTTCTTACCTAAAATAGTAGACAAATAAAACCTAGTTGTGATTAAACTGTCCTACTTAAACTGATCTGTTTTCTTATGAACTCACTACCTATACTGACAAGTTTGGTCTGAAAAGAAAAAGCTCACACTGTTTTAGGAAAATGTGATATTAACTGGATATTAAATATTTTGCAGCTATCACCATTATCAACAATTCCTTATGAAAAAAAGACTAACAGTTGTATTTTAAAACAGTTGTATATTAAACTGTATATTAAACAGTTGTATTTTAAAAAAAGATTTAGACAAGGAAATGGATACCTAAGAGCAAACCCTAAATTGGGCTATGAAACTTTGAAACACTTTAAGACAGGGCTTTTTCTATCCCTCCCTAATACACTGTGAAACTTGCCTCTTCTACACTAAAGTATCCGATACAACAAATATTGTATACTCTTTTATAAAAAAAAAAAACTGGGAAAACTGCATGAGATAAATCTATAAACACCTCTGTTTTCACAGTAGTCAACTGACTTGACTGACTATTTGGGGACACTGAATTGAGGCATTATGTTGCATGTCACAGAAGAAAAACTGCTTAATACAATATTTATCTCCAAATGCTAAAGATTTAAAGCATAGGACAACAAGGTAAGACACACTAGAATAAGCAACAATACAACTGAAAAAGTAACACAATTTGTTGAATAACTTGTAAAAGAATACCTCAATATATTTCAAAGCACGACTGATGTAAACTCAATTTTATCCTTACCTCAGATATTCTGAGATTGGTGATGCATATTTTTAAAGCATTTTTTAAATTTTCAAAGAGATTTTATTTATTTCAAATGGTATGTATTGACAAAACAATAAAACCAACAAAGTAAAAATATTCCTTTTCCCAACATCAAAATCCTCTTTTAATCTTTTCTAGTCTCTTTTTTCTTCTACAACAGTCCTTAAGCTCCTTAGCTCTAGATTTTCCTCTTCCTTTTCCATTTTTAATATTAAATATATCTTTTCTTCCTGAATATTCCTCTCTTTCTGCAGCTTCTTGTTCTTCACTGCTGAACTGCCTACCTGTATCACTTCAAAATAATTTTTTGTAGCCACAAGTGAACTCACCTATGCCTACAGGTTTTCCTCTTCCCAAGGGAAATTAATTCTGATCCTTGACACATTTCCCACTGTCTTTACTCTGTTATATTCACCTACTTACCACTACATCTTACTATAAACATTTTTCTTTCACGGTTGTAGAATTATCCTGACATTTTAAAATATATAAATATACACACATATAAAATTTCATTTATGTTAGCCTTGTTACACATATAATCACAAAAATTATAAAGCTTATTTTCCTAATCTCAAAAACCATAATAGTCTAACCAAAATTCTAATTAAAAAAATAAAAATGATGACAACCAACCTGTGCTTTCCTCATATAAGCTAATGGCTCTTTCATGTGCTCAGGAGGTGCTGCAGGATGACAGGGTGAAGGAAACCTTAAAGAGAGCAGAGTATACTTTAAATGTTCAGCTTTTTATTTTGTTTACTTAATGTCTTATTTGCCAAACTAAACATTTTTATGAAGTCCTTATAAAATAACACTGTGGATAATAATCAAAGCTAAAATAATAAAATATGCATTACATTTAAAAGCATTTTTCCCCTTATCCTTTACTATGAGCATGCACGTTTGAAGATACAAAAATATGCAAGCCTACTAATAACATTTTAACAAGAGTTGAGTATGTACCCGCACATTATGCCAAAATACAAAAGCTGGAAAAAGACTGGGTTTTTTTAAGCCTAATTTACACCCTACTGCTGCAAACCTCTTTCCAGTTATCGCCAAACATTTCAAAGCTGATTTTAACCACCTTGCAAATACACTTTCCAGAAGTCAAAGGGCTCTGTGCTCTGGATCATGTCCCACCAAGAGGAGCACTTATCTGTAAGACTAGAAATCTAAAATCTCAGTTTAAAGATCTCTTACTAATTATTACAATAAACATACGCAATGCTATCATTAACGTGAAAACAATTGGACTGCATTTGCAATAAATATCTCAGTTACACAAAATTACAATATGATGTCAACACCTTTGCTAGCACAACACAAATATGCCAAATAATTTCTTTATGTCTTCAAAATGCATTTGAACACAAAGTTTAGACTAGGATAGAAAAGAAAGCATGGCACTTGAAAAAACAGAAATGGAGCAGGCACTCTTGGTATGACAGATACATTTAAGATCTTGCAGTCAGTAGTAACACATCACATTCCTATATAAACACAGAAATTAAAAGTAAATCATGCAAATACAACTTATTTAAGAGAAATACTGAATAAACTCACACATTGAGTTCACTATAAACTGCATTCTGAAGCTTCTTTTCCCAACCTGTAAAATAAAAAAATCCAGTAGACAACTTTTACTGAAATAATACATGTTAAAATGGCTTTTTTGGAACATAAACTAAAGTGTGGTTATTCATTTGAGGGGCCATAATCTCCCGCCCTGCTGCAATTTATATCTACCTAGTGGACAGACAAGAAGAGACCTAATTAAGGCAGGAAAAACAATAGAAAAAAAGCTGACATCTACATAAAGGTTGAATATCTTGTAATTCTGTCCACTATTTAAATCATTACAAAGTAGCTTGGATTATATTATACACTATTTTTCAAAACCATCATGTTTACTAAACCAACCATAAATTTTAATAGACACAATTTTTTCGTGGTAATTATGAATCTTCGAGTACTAGACAGTGACATTTTAGAGTTACATAGCCCACAGCTTCCAAAAAAATGGAAGCTGACTAAAGGTAAAATTTTTAAGAGTACCTCCTTGACACAGAAGGCTAATTTCCATTTTGAAAGTGGCTAAGCTCTTACATCATACAAAAAAAAAAAAAAAAAAAAAAAAAAAAAAAAAAAAAAACCCACAGGATCTTAATTTTATAAAGTGATAAAATCACTTCTTTAAAAGGTATGGTTTGCAAAATGCTGCTGGACTCCACTGAGATCTGGCTGAAAAAATAAAGATTATGTCTCAGTTGCTCAAAGCGATAGTAGGTTTAATTATTTAATTTCACTAGATTTACTGGAAACTGTAACCTACAACCTTTCTTCTATGGAACCACTTTTATACAAAAGAACAAGACAAACCATTAATTGAAGCAGAGGGTATGTCAGATTCAAAATTATTAAACTGTGACATTGTTATAAAATGATATCTTCTCCATTTATAAAATGCAAAAGCCAGTAAGAAACTTAGTCCTCTGTCAGGATTATATTCACAAATGTTGATTTTAAGTTACACATGTATATATTTAATTGTAGTTAATTAATCATGTCATTTTTGCATTACAAAACATTATAAATTTTACCCTCAGTGGGTATTTTAAACATAACCCACGGAAAGTGTCCGAGTTTGCCAAGTTCTCAAAATCTGTAGGATATGCACTGGAACACATGTACTCCATAACCGGGAATTATCGGATATCTGCCTCTGGCTGCTGTCAGTGTCAAGACACTGTGCTACGTGAACTACTGTTTTTGACCATGAATAACACTTATGTTATCAGAAAGATCTATAATTATACATGAAAGCATCAATTCCTCCCCAATCGCTACTGAAATGAAGCATTACAAACCTGACGTCTTCAGAAAATCCCTAATGTCTTCTTTCAGTGATTCCAGTTTAACCTCTGGCTTGTGTAAGCTAACCTAATATTAAAAATAAACAACCAAAACATAAATAGTCATAAAATATTAATATTAAATATAACATTAATGAAAACAATATGTTTAAAATAAAAAAGCATTAATAAAAATAAATAAATAAGCATCAAGAAAGCACTAAAAAGAATGTAAACTGCATTTTAAGTTATGAAATAAGAAATATACAGGATTATTATTACACATACTTAAAGCAAATTGTTCCTTATTACCTTGAGGGTAGTAACTGCAGCCATAAAAAGAGCCAACAGTTTCCTCCCTAGATGCCATTGGTTTTAAAAGAGTGATAAAAGCTGAAAGGGAGGAAAGGTGGAGAGGAAGAGAAGGGTGGGTAGTAGCTGCTGGCAGATGCACTTAATATTCTGAGCAAGCACCCTGCATCCTTGGCACAAGTGTCAGACTCTTCATATTTCAGGATTCAGACAAATACTCAAAGTCACTCACTGTATTCCTGACACGAGCATCACCCTGAAAATGTTCCACAATCTCTCACTTAAGAGAGTGTTCCCCCCCGCCAAGTCCTACCGTCTCGTTTGGACTGACTTACATGGCCCGTCAGGCTGAGCTGACTTTTTTCCCCCTGCAACACACTGGTTTTGTACCCTCTTCTGCAGAAAGTAACATATTTTGAACTAGACAGATAATGTCTTTCTTTTCCCGAGGGATGTTGGTGCACAGGGTGGTGATAATTGAACACTGGCTTTTTGGGTAAGTACGGCTGATGTTAATGCCAAGGGCAGCAAGGAGCTCTCCTGCAGGGCCCGGGACACGTGCTCCATTAATCCTCCATAGGAATGCAGGAGAAAACCTCCCAAGAGCAACTCACTGACAGATGATGAACCGCAGCTACAGAAAAGCTTTACAATCTAGTAAAAAGTTGCCTTTAATAAAGGCAACGTGCAAGACGTGACAAAAGTGGTGAGACGAGACCAGTACTTTAATTCTCTGTTGTTCACACTGTTGCAAAATCTGGGATTTTCTGGCTCGCTGAGGAGGGTCTGGCACCGAGGCCCCTTTCTTGCCATGGCTTCCTGGAAGGGCTGGGAACTGCCTTGGCACCACAAGGGGCAGGAGGGATAGAGGAGGTCAGGCACGCAGAGAGCGGCACCATTGTCACTGTCAGGGCAATTCACAGGCACAGGAGTGCCCTGTGAATGGCCACCCCCAACAGAACGTGTTTCCCAAACTGCAGAACAAAAAACTCACAGTGACACCTCAGAATGCAGCAAGATGGGGCTCAAAAAGAGAGGGACCGCTCCTCGGGTAGCGCCGTCTCCAGGGATGACAGTAGCTCATGGCCTCCACCACTTACCTCCACGTCTTTATATCCACTTACTTAGTCAAGTTGTATTTCATTACCACTAGCTCTGCTGTAGAAAAAAATATTAAGTACTTTGGCAGGGTTTGTGTGTTGTAAACCACTTTATGCAATGCACTGACAAAGTATAGTTGCGTTTTCATTCCCTATGTTTTTTGGTAGAATGAAGAACACGTTGACAAAATTTTACTTGCATAAAAAGCATCGCTAGGATTTATACTGATAAAAATGCCTTGCTGAAAGTCTTTGGGGAAGAAACACCTTGATGAGATTTGTCCTGATGAACTGAATTAATTTCCTGCATCACTGAAGAGCACACAAGCACAACTGCAGATTTCAATTTCCATATGTACATCTTGATGAAAGGGGTATTTTTCTCTTCACCTGATACTATCAGGAGCCTATTGCAAGCCAGGTAAGAGGGAGTAAACAATGGAAGGGAACAACCCACGACGGGCCAGGAAGATACTCTCATGGGGAATCCTGACGTTCAGGCTCAGTCAGGGCATGCCAGAATCCTAAAAGGACAGGGATTCATTAAGCAACAATTAATGCTTTTAAAATAAGTACTTATGTTTAACAGTTTCCTTTGCAGCATGAATGTTCTTACAGAACCTCTAAGGTTCACGAGTTGGGTGTACAAGTTGAAACTGTTCCAAGACTTGCAAAATTCTGTCAAGCCTTCTCAAAGTTGGCTAAGGTACCGCTAGCAAACCTTCGTACTTATATTCCATGTAAATCTTCTTCATTTTTAACTTTGGTAAGGAAGCCTGTTGTAATGTGGGCAGTGACCATTATGAGTTATACTCTACCTATATACAGAAAATGCAGAGAACCAGCACGAGCTGCACTGCGAGCAAAAGGATGGCACAGACTAGTCTCAAGCGCTCCCAATGGGCCCTGCTGGCATGAACTGCTTCAAGGGACGCACCTTTTGTTCCGACACAGCCAGTCCCACACACAATTTTATATAACCTAAATATTTTTAAAGGCTACCTGCCATCCTCCCATTGGTTCTTCATTTTTATTTTTTATTTTGGGATAAGTGTGTACATTGTCTCTGGATTTGACACTGTTCATTCTGCACAAGTCCCCACCAGTTTTGGGTTTTAACTCTATTATTTCCCAAATTAAAACAAAGAACACTTCCCTAAATACAGTTCTAGTTTAACAGAACTAAGCTCAATGAAAGATAAGAAGAAAAGATACTTTGTTTTCATAAACTCCATGGTACCATAGCTAGATTTCCTAAGGATCCAGAAGACTTGTTTAAATCCACATCAGCTATGTCTAGGCTACTTCAATCACAACTGTTTTGACACAGACATTCCCTATATGTTTAATTTAAAATACTACAAATAGGAAGGAGTGGTTCTGGTTTCATTTTATACATTTCTTTACAGAAAGGGGAATAATTCTGAGCATGACTAAACCAAGTTCACCAAGCATAAAGCTTCAATCATGTTGGCATTTTTCCAATGCTTGTGCAGTTCTACAGGAATTACACTAAGGGAAAAAGTATTGTGGACTTTCTTACAGAAGCAAAAGTGATCTAGCATGTGAGGCAAAAAGTTTACAATTAGTCTCAGAGAGGTAAACAATTTCAACTGTGATATTCTCCCACAATATGAGAGTCGTGTTTTAATAATGTCATTTTGATGTTTCATTCTCCTAAGTTTTCTTTGTCTATAACATTAATCTTGTAAATAAGCTACACACATGCAAGGTAAAACATATAAATTCACCATTACTAGAAGATCATCTGTAAATCAAGTTTGCTTTGCTTCTGAACTCCCTAATCCGCTCAATGTATTCCCAACTTCCCCCAACTGTGCTGCAAATGGTTCCACAAAGCCATTTAGACAGAGCTCGAGCCCTATTAGGAGGGGACAGTAAGTCCATTGTTATACACAACACGTGACTAGGAATTGTTAATTCTCTGTCATGACTCATGAACCTACCTTTATTTGCTAAATTATATTAAATAAATGTTACCTTTTGCACAAATCTAAATTTCATCCTCTATTTAAATGAGGACTAATCCTTTTTTTTTTTTTTTCTGCTGGAGAAAAACGTCACGAAAGTAATATCCTCAGCTCTGCTGCAGTCTGTTCAGCCTGTTCTACACAAATTACTACAAGGCGTTTAGCTGCCCTCCCTTTAGAAACACATATTCAACAAGCATCAATCCTAGTGTGGCCACACAAGGTCCTTCCCCAGTTTGTGCCACTGGAAGCCTTGTGAAAACCCCTACCTCTCCTCTTGATTAATCTTTTCCTTTCATCCTTTTTAGTACTAGCCCCAGGTATATTCAAAGACTGATCACAGAGGCTTCCTCTCTGGACTATTGTTTTAATCATGTCATATCGTAGAATAACTCCTCACCACAGCTTGTTTGGACCTTTAAGTATCACACAAAAACTTCAACTGTCTGCAAAATATTTTTTTTCTCTCCCACCTCCATATTAACTTCAGAAAGAGAAGATCAGGATAAAATGATAAGGCAAAACTTTGGGTGCGAACTTGCACTGAAAGCTGTGACTGAAGGAATAAGATCAAGTTTCTCCACAGATACTCCAATAACCTCAATATCATTCCTACCTTTTGAAAAAGCTAATATCTAATTTTATTTTGCTTCTCTGTAAGAAACAAAATATACCCAGTTTTCTTTGAAACACAGTACAAAATAAAAGCTACGTCCAGAAGAAATGGCGGGCACATTTATACTCTTCTCTGAGTTAATTTCTTTTTCTTTTTTTTTTTTTTTTTAATATTATTATTATTAACTGCAGGCACATTATCAAAAGTCAACCTTAGAATTCACCCTGGCGTTTATTTTCCAAATCTTAACAAACATGTGAGACTACATCCACCTCATTCTCTGCACAACAACATGATTACTTACATGATATCCACAAGGATCCATAGATTACTTGGTACCCATTGCTAACCTATGCCAGCAAATCATTTGGTACCATGTCAAACTTATTTCCTAGGACTAATTGCAGTCTTTGATACTAACTCAGGCTCTTGGTAAGTACCCAAAATAGCACTGACGTAAACAGCTCATAATCAGGAGACTACAAATCAGTATTCTGGTTAATATTAATATAATGATCGCTAGACTCAGCACACACAAGAACTTCCGCAAACTATTTTATAGACCTATTTTGACTTCCACGTTTCAGAGATGTTAAACATATTTGAAGTATAAAGAACATATAAAGATGATGTCTGTTTCTACATTAACAGATAACCAGCATCCTTCTAAAAGTAAACTATAATTACTGTATAAATATCCAAAGCAACAAGTAAGTTTCATCCTGATGCGCTGCCTTAACAGCATTCTCAATATATCATAAATATGCTTCTTAAAAAAGCCTAAATTGACTAAAATGAGATCACCTGGAGGTCAATAATGTGACAAGTCCAGGCTAAATGTTCTGTTCAGAAACTGAATGTTAGCTAGGAGATGCAAGAACAAACCATGGTCTGATGACAAGCAGGAGTTCTGGTGTGATGTGGAAGAGCAGCAAGATTTCCCGTCTCATAATGCAGTTTCTGAGACACTCCACACATCTCTGGATGGATCAAGCACTAATTACAACAAAATTCATAAACTAAGAGCTGTGTAGAGTTGATAAAGACTGAAACAAATACCAGGAACTCAGGAGAGGGCTTTTGCAACTTCACAGTACAGCACCAACAGACTATATACTGCAGTAGCGTACACACTACACAAGCACGAAAAATAAAACAAGAACCCTACATTGTGCATGAATGCACAAGAATGCATGCAAAGTCTCTACAAAAAAATCAGGACCAAGTGGAATAATATGGATTCTGGACAAACAGGATGTACATATGGCCCTATTAAACTGTGACCCAAAAAAGAAGATCCTCCTGAATGAGAAATCTTCTAGTTGGGGCCTCTCCTCATTTTCCAGCCTTTTAGATCTATTGATTTTATGTTCTATTACAAACTTTTCAAACACCTAATCTACGAATCAATATTCATCTTTTCCATGTTTTTTATTTTCCTTCCTCTTCCCTTTGTTTTCACACGACTGGAACAGCCTTCCAACCTAGGCTAAACACTCAGCCCACTAAACCCTTTCATCTCCTCCAAGAAATGTGAAAACCACCACTGTTTCACAAGGCAGATCTGGCTGTGGTCGCAGTCCATCGGTTACCCTTAGGCTTGGGGATTATACACAGGGTTTCTGCCTGCGCTGAACAGGCACTGACCACTGCTGGAGTCCCGGAGGTTGCTCAGCCACGGAGCTGTCACCGCAGACACGGGGCACAACCCGCGGAGCACTGCAGGGCCCCTCAGATCGCTCCCGCGCTGGGGGAGAGACAGGACCCACCAGTGCCCTGCGAACACCCTGCCAGCTCCGGATGGCCCCGAGCTCCGTGGCCTGCGAAGCTACAAACTAAGGGATCCGGCCTAACAAAGGAGAAACAAGTGAATAACACCAGAAGGGTGCGTACACATGCTCTGCTTTCTTCAGTAAAACAGCTGTTAAGAGAGCCTTGTTCTTTAACCCCATTGCTGCCTTTGTTTAGGACAAAGGCTTGAATTTGATTTCTCTGTACCTCGTATGAGACCATCTACTTGGGCTGCTGAATTCCCTCTCACTTGGTAGAACCTGAAATCTAAACCCCTCCGTAATTCCCGCCTCCCCCCCGGCCCCAGTTTAAACCCAGAGCCACACACCTTTGCTCCTTTGTGTATTTAGGGAGCAGCCAGCCAAGATGGGAGCAAGAGCAGCCACGTCGATGACAGCACCTGGCCTGCCACAGCCAACGCTGACACCAAGCTGCTTCACACACTAACGGGCTCTTTAGGGACATTCAGAGAACAAGCCTGCATGTTTCTATTAAATACTAAGAAAAAAAATACAGTAATTAACTTAACTGACATTCTACCTATTAAAAATCAATCTGTACAGTTGTAATAGGTTTTCCAATTAAGTGCGAAAAGAACTCAAGTCATATAAAAAGCTGCTATTTGATAACATCAGACACAAAATGTTTCCGAAGTGCCCACTAACGGCCGTAACGCCACCGTTAGGAGGGCCACCCAACCTGCAAGGAGCCTCCTGCGAGCCCCCCGAGGCAGGGCGGGCCCGGGGCGGGCAGGCCCGTCCCAGGCAGGGGCCGTTCGGACCGGAGCCGTGCCCGGCTGCCAGCCTGAACCACGGCCAGGCCGACACCCGCCGCCCGCCAAGGCCCCTTCCCAGCCTCCCTGCGCAGGACAGCGCGGCCACGGCAGGAACCACCGCGGGCGCCGGGCCGGGGCTCACCCGGGCCTGCCGCTCCAGCTGCGAGTGGAGGCTGGAGCCGCGGAGCCGCTGCACGACGCGCGCGATGGTGAGAGACAGCCCGCCCTCCGCGTCCACCATGGCCGCGCCGCCCGGACCGCCTTCGCCGCCGCACCCCCGCGGCCGTTACCACGCAACCGTGGGGCAGGGGCAGTGCCGCGGCGGCTTCCGGGCGGAAACGTGGCCCCCTCGGCAGGGTTCCTCCCCGCGCTTCCTGCATGGTTGCGCGCGCAGCTTCTGGTCCCATTTGCCTTGGTGGGGAAAAGGGCTCTGTAGAGAACGTGTGATTTTATTTTATTTTATTTTACTTTATTTTATTTTATTTTATTTTACTTTATTTTATTTTATTTTATTTTATTTTATTTTATTTTATTTTTATTTATTTATTTTTTACAATGCCCAGAATCCAGAGGGGGATCAGGGCTAAAAATTATTTAACCAAGCGTAGGGCAGTCTTAGGAAATGGCTTGTGCTCAACCCAGGTGCTGAGGAGAGGAGGCAAATCAAGTGCCCCGTTGTGTGGCAGTGCCTGGACATCTGGCCTGGATTACACCAGTCTTCTGTCAGTTCCATGCTTAAATACACATACAGAGCTAACTGATAACCTGCACTGATTTTGTTTTGCATTTTCATGTGAGTTAGAGCTCAGATTTTACAATCCCCAGGGATAAATTAAACAGCTTGAACACCTCCTTAAGAAGTTAGCGAGGGAGGAAGAGGGAGGAAGCAGCCCCTGGGCTGCTGGTGTGCAAGGGGATGGCACGGTTAGCGGCGCACGGGCTTTTCTCTCTGAATTGGGCAGCAAGGAGATACTTCGATACTTCCCCAGCTAAACGGGTGCATGAAGCCCCGAGTTTGGTGCCTTGGGCTGTGTGGTTCTGAGCAGGACGGGCGCCTCACATGGGCCATGGTGCCGCACACCGCCCAAGGCCCCCCACCTCTGCCCGGACACTCCTGGTACCCCCTGGGTCATCAAAACAGAGGCGAAAACTAGTGATGTCAGCTGCGGATCATTAATTCCCTACAGCCCTCTATCTCTGCTCCAAATCTGTGCTCGTTTCTTACCTTTCTCACGTGCTCATCCATCATTCCTTTCGTTCTCTGCTTTCCAGGCTTTTTTTCCCCACTGTTTCCCTTCCTCCCATGCACTAGGTTTTCCTCTGTCAGTCATGCCTCTAACAGAACTAAAACATTTCTTGTAAATGCCAGTCAAAGCGAAAAACAAGGGGATAAAAAGAGAATCTTTGCACTATCTCCTCCAGCACCTGTGTAACCTTACCATGCCTAGTTGTGAAATTCAGTGTTAAGTGCAAGCCTCTTTGCTGCTGCCTTACAAGGAGCATACCACACTGCAGCCTGTGAAATACGGAGTCATTTAAAAAAATATTCCTTAAATAACAGGCATTGGCAGAATTACCAATGTGAATGGTGCTTTCTTTAGCCTTGCCCTCTTGGATCACATGACTAGTTTAATTTTGTTTAGGTGATAAGTGTCTGGCAATTACTGCTTTGTCTTTGTGACTTTGTGACTTACTTTTAAATTACAAGTTAGCAACCAAAGTACAGTGAATATATGCCTACGGTGAACATAGGCTTACAATGCCCAGTACCACATACCAAAGGTACCTTTCTGGGACTAGATACCTTTTTCTTTTCCTCCTCTCCTCTCCTCTCCTCTTCTCTCCTCTCCTCTCCTCTCCTCTCCTCTCCTCTCCTCTCCTCTCCTCTCTCCTCTCTCCTCTCTCCTCTCTCCTCTCTCCTCTCTCCTCTCTCCTCTCTCCTCTCTCCTCTCTCCTNTCCTCTCTCCTCTCTCCTCTCTCCTCTCTCCTCTCTCCTCTCCTCATGTGTGTTTATTTATTTTATTTCTTATTTTCCTTTACCACATCCCCCTGAACACATTAGCTCTTCCCCACCCTTTCCTCATTTCCATTTGCACTTTCAGTGCTCTCAAATGTTACACCTTCAAGATTCTGCCATTAGTTATAACCGGTGCTGGTGTCTCAACTGTTCGGTATTAATCTGCCACTGCAGGTCTGGAAAGTATCAGGAATTTGGCAAAGGAAAGTAAAAATTGCATAGTCAGTACCTGATATATTTTCCCCTCTAATCTCTCCCTCCACTGGTTTCCCCTCTTGTGGACTTGGGGTTGAGAAAAGAAGAGGATACAAAGCAACAGATAATTAACACCGTCATTTTTAAGGTCTCCTGAGGCAAAATGCATTTTAATGCTTCCAAATTATTCTGGAGATGAGTTTATTTCCTGGAATGCAAAATGAGTGACTAAAGTGAAGAGGTGTCCAAAGGAAGCACTAAGTGCCTGAAAGTGTGGCATTTTTTCCATAGCTGCACTAAGAAACAGGGCTATCACCGAAGAGGGAGGTTGCTGTGTGTAACATCATAGTGCATGAAGGAAAATTATTTTTAATAGGTTGTTCAAATGGTTCTTCTGTGATCACTGACCTAAGGGATACAAGAGATTTGCCACATACTGTTAGGGAGCTGCTCAGGAGTTCCTTTGGGAATTGGGTATGTCGTGTTTCTTGTGACACCAGGACATGACTCTTCACTGCTAGCAGAAATTCACATGTGAAATGAGATTTTAGGTTGAAATAACTAGATGGAAATAATATTTAGGTGGAAATAACTCCCTGAATTTCTCATCCGAGCAGGCTCGGTCACAGAAGTGTGTATTCAATCCTCTGCTCGGCGTGCTCATTCTTTCCACTAGACTAAATTAAATTAACCATGAATCTTAGTTTTGGCCCAATCCTGCAAAAATGTCCTTATCACATCCACTAGTTCAATCATGTAATCGGACCACAATATGCTGCTAGCACTTGATTGCACAGAGAATTTTAACAAAATATACAAAATATACAATATACAAAATATACAAAGAGAAGAAAAAGAATTTCTGTCAGTGTCTTGTCCTCATCAATTCTAAACTTTATTCAAATGTCTGCTCAAAAAGTGACAACCTATTTTGATAAGTTTCAATACTTTATTTAGAATAACCAGTTCCTGTAGAGTAATGAGATTTTTTTGCTCTAATACCGCTGATGCAATCTGAAGAATGTAGGAAGCTTAGATAATGTAGCTTCACTTATCAGGGCAGAAAACAGCTCTTATTGCAGACTATTGTTCATGAAAAGTAATATATTTTATCTAACAGATGGCTGAACTTGAGAGCTAGGCTTCACTACCAGTGACGCCAAGGATCATCAGTCTTGTTTCAGGAGTTTCTCATCACTTCAGTTCTTCATTTTAGGTAATTTCCTACCAGACCTTGGCTTTCCACAGGTATAAGCCTTCCTGGAAATGATCGTGTAGCTCAAGTCCTAATATCTATTAGTAGTTCTTCTTAATAGCGCTGCTGAGTCATAACAACAACACTGAGTCATCAGGCATGTGAAGCAAATAACATCAAGCAAGCCCCTGATTTTTCTGCTATTACTAGTTTTATTCCCTCTTTCCTGTGTTTTATTATTAACCAAAACAAATTAGGTCTAACAAATTTAAAACAAATTTAAATTCTCATGTGTATATTTATCATGCCTATTAAGAAATTATTATGCAGTTATGGGATCTCATAGGGTACAAAAGGAATGAAGTCTTGGTCTAGAACAATATGGAGGAAAATTATTTCCTAAATAACAAATATAATTTCTGTACAGAGTGGTATAGAGTGCATACTTTATGTATGGCATATATTTTATATCGTAGATTTAATCTACACCTTCACCTATCTATCTGCAAGTCTCCGGAAATTTACACAATTATTGTATGTATTCAGATTTTTAAAAAATTATGCTTCAGCATCAGAAAAGCAGCCATTTCACCCAGGATGCATAACTACTTCTTTTGAAGTACTTGGGATCTTTAAACAACCAGTCAGTAAGCAAGAAATCAATTAAAAGATCTCCCTCAGAATCCACTCTTAGTTAACATCTTTAGATCAGAGTTTATTAGGCCATAGATACACACAGGGAGATTGTGTCTTGCGTCTTCAAGCCTATTGATTTCAGTGAGGTGAAATGATATAAATAAAAGCAGAACTTGGGTTTTGTTTGTGACAGGAATTACACAGGATCACCGAATCACAGAATGGTTGAGGTTGGAAGGGACCTCTAGAGATCATCCAGTCCAACCCCCTGCTCCAGCAGGGACACCTGGAGCACGGGGCGCAGGGTGGCATCCAGGTGGGTTTGAAGACCTCCAGAGAAGGAGACTCCACAGTCTCCCTGGGCAGCCTGTGCCAGGGCACTCCTTTCCTTAGAACTATCTAAAAATCATATAGAGTGTTGTAATTCTAGACTTAGTATTTTGAAACTATGATTTTCCACATTATTATAGTAATACTCAATATTGTATAATAATAACTTTTGGGTGCCATATCCTATTCACAGAATCACCAAATGGTTGAGGTGAGAAAGGACCTCTGGAGATCATCTTTCCAGCAAGTTTTGAGTATCTCCAAAGAAGGAGACTGCACAGCTTCTGTGGGTGACCTGTTCCAGTGCTCTGTCACCCTCACAGTCAAGAAATTTTTCTCACATTCAGGTGGAAGCTCCTGTGCTTCAGTTTGTCCCATCACTGGCCACCACTGAAAGTAGTCTGACCCCATTCATTATAGCAGGGTTTTTTTTCTTCTATTGGAAAATGTAATAAATATTTTAAGGAGGTCTGTTGCATCTTTTTTTCACTGCCTGGAAAATATATGACTTAGCACAGTATACATTTCAGTATACATGGCAAGTCTTCAGCAATCAGTAGGTCACCTGGAATACATTATTAGTATCTAAATCATAGCATTTGTCTCTTTAGTCATTAGGAAGTATAGCTTCACTGGAGACTTAGCAGAATAAGGTTCCCTGTCATATCAATTTCAGGTAATTATTATTCCTCTGATTATGACGATGACAATTAAAGAGGATCTATCATTTTTCCAGAAACCTTTTTCATTTTGAAAGATTAGTAGGCTGATAGTTTCCTTTTAAAAGGAAACTGGTTTCAAATACAAGAATAAGCCAAGAGAATAAGGATGCTTTTTTTTTTTTTTTTCCTAATTCTTTCCCGATGATTATATGCTTAGAAGATATCCACATGCAGTAACTGTAACTGAAGAAGCACTATAGTTTGGACCACAGGATTCCTCACTTCCACTACTAGGATTTTGCAGTTACCCTTTATCATTAAAGCCAAACTTCCTATTTTTTCTGATTAAAAAAATTTAAAAAGCTAGAAATGTGAGTTAGATAAACAACAAAATGGAAAGACTGAATGAGCTGAACCTAAACAGAACCTGCTTGAATTCCCCACAGTTTTTTCTCCACTGATGGTGCCCTTCTTTCCTTGTACGGAAAAATGCTTTATGCCATCGAAAGGGAGCTCATGGCACTGAATAAATATCTTAACCAACTATGGAATACAGTCTCATCTGATAGATCTCAGGCCATGGCAGAGACCTGAAGAAACCTCTATTGCAATACTTGATAATTGTCCTGTCTTAGTCCCAAAGAGATTAAGTCAAAAGATAAAACTGAGTTCTAGTTTCTAAACAAAGTTGCTCCCATTTTATGTACATGGTTAGTTTATAAGAAATATGCTGGCAGAAAACAGTTTCAAAGATTGAGTACTAGTGTTTTCTTTTACAAGAACTGATGTGTATAGATATATCTATTTGCACCACCACTTTTTTCTTAAACAGCATTAATTCTGTAAAACCTTGAAAACTTAGTAACTTATCAGACAAAAAAGTACAACTGTGTCTAAGCATTTTAAATATAACAGTATTGCATATGACCTACCACCTATGTCATGATCTGATTTTTTAGAACTGATCTGAATATTTCCTTCAGAATCCAAATTTAAATTTACAGTGTCCTATATATAAGGCCTTGTGAAGAAGATATTCTAGCACAACATGATTCAGTTAAACATGATTCAGTTAAACAGTTAATGAAATAAATTGTTTTCTCTGTTTTGCCAGAGCATCACAACTTGACTTTCAATAAAACTTCAATGAGCAATCATTTAGAATTAAGTGAAGACTCTTTGGGAAGTCTGCCTTTAGGAGGTATAAAATTTCAGCTGGCATTTCTGGTTTCCTTTAAAAATAAAATTCTGACATTTCTGGCTTTCTTAACTGAAACCTAAATTTAATTCAAAGAGATAAACTCACCGATACTTTGTGGTTTGAGAAAGATTATAACTTCTGGTACGATGAGGTCTAAAACCAGTCTGAGCAAGAGTAGAATGTGGAGGCATTCCACTAGCTATAACTTACAATATTTGCAATAACCTTTCCTTGCTCCCTGCCAGTTCAACAAATGTTTTAGGCAAAATTTGTAAAAATAAAAAACTACTTGTCGCTGATCTTTCACCTAGGTTCAAAAATCTTATCAGAAATGTCTTTCCTGCATCAGTTATTGCCCTTTCCCAGACTGCGGGACAGCAAAATGGATACATTAGAATAAAAAGAAAAAAAAAAAAAGAGATCAAATAATGCATCTAAATAGAGGTACAATCGCCAGAATTCCTGCTCATAGTTGAACATATGCCTTGTGACAGCTTTAGGTTGCTTTGCCTGTACAAAGCACTTAACACCACTGCGGTTTGACTGCTGAAAGGCCCAAACCAATAAGCATGAAATTTCAAATATAACTTACTTATTTCAGATACAAAATATAAAAATGCATTGGAAGAAATCATCTATGGCAATTTTTCCAACATGTCTTTTCAATGCCAAAATTAACCTTTCCCATATTCAATGACTACATCCCACAGATTAAATTTCTCATTTGGGTAACAGATTTTTAAGCCCATGGATATTTGGGAACCTTAAGTGAAGCTCATTGTAACAAAAAGTGGGTGTAAAGAAGTCTGATCAGAATTTGTCCTTGGACGTTGTTTCTCCCTTCCCTTGAGAGTTGAGTTTTCTCATTGGCACCTTGAAACTGTTTTGTAATGTAAGCAAAGACCGAACAATGAAAATGACTTTAAATCCTACATGCTTTCAGTCACATTAACTCCCTGCACAATGTAATATTGTATAAACATAGGCAAATATTCCAAACTAACTATAGCAATTGTTTCTCTGAGTGTGTTTCCTTAGAATTATAGAGACAAAAACCATGACAAGTAATGGCAATAATACTATCTTCTAGATATGTGATCTTTCAGTGTTTGAATATTATTTTGAATAACATTTTGACAGGTCTCTATGGAAATCATTTCAATATGCTCCCAGGTCACCTTAGGACAGTAAATAAGTGAGGTAAATGAAAAGCTTACACTATGACTAGGAGTATTTTGGCATCACTATATGCTTGACCCACCTATCTCAGTTACTCCAAACGCTGTAATTCATAGCGGTGGTCAGAGAAGTCCCAAGTACAAACAAAAATTGGTTAGTATGAAAATTAATATAAAAAATTGAAAAATAAAGAGCTAGAACAGATCTTCCACTCGTCTGTTATCTTTGCTGAAGATCTCCCTGTGCCTCGTCTCACTTAGTTCAATAATTAGTTCAAACTGTCAGCTAGCCAAGGTCGAGTTAACAACAAAATATGGCCTGGAGATTGTCACAGTAAAAGAACACGAGTCAAACAGCACAGTGCTTAACTGCATATAACAAAATACTTACCCCTGATACTAACTTAAAGTTATTTTCATTCTAGTAGTCTGAATGTTTGAATGGGACTGTCCTATTTTCACACTATCTGAATGCTGCTTCATGCAAAAACACGATGGAAAATAGCGTAATCCTAATAGACCTCACATTTTGTGAAGCCTTGCCTTTTGTTAAATCAAAATTCTACTTGAGATATTTTCTTCCTGAAAAGAACTGATATTCTTCTAGAACTTTAGGTGTTCTATCAGCTGTCAGAAAACTAACTTCTTTCCACCCTAAACACAGACACTCTAAACTTGGAAAGCTTGATAAGGCTTCAGACATGCTGGTACCAATTCACCTAATAAAATATCATCTGACTTTCTCCATTTCCATTTTCATTTCATAACATCGATGCTGTTTCCTACTAACTGTACAACCAGTCCCTTGATAATTCTGTAGTTCTCATGAAACCAACATCTCTGTTTCTAATTCTGCAGGAATATGGCAACCCATTTGATGCAATGCCCTGGGTATAGCCTGGTTTCTCTTCAGAGCAGAGCTGCCTGATATATATAGCACTGCAGCCAGCCTGAAGAGCCTGTCCTTTTCCTGACTCTTCCACTGGTCCATTCGGTACCCTGTGCCAAATCACTTCACTTTTCTGTGCTTCATTTTTTTTTTCCATCTGTAAATTGAAACTCATAGCAACTGCAGTTAGCATAATTAGCTCCCTTCATCCACTTCTTTGAGCTCTACTAATGAAAAGCACCATGTAAGAGCGGTAAAATAACGTCACTTACTGAAGCATCTCTTTCTTTGTTATTTACTTAACTAGAATCTTAAGAAGAAAGAAATGAAGTTCTTGATTTTTTCACATAAGGATTTATTTAGTATCTATTTCATTTGTAATGTACTACACCTGTACGAGGCTTACCAAAGACCTGACTACTTTCAAGAACAGTTGTACCATTCTCTTGCCCGTGTTATGCCTATGAGGCACATTGCAGCAGTGAGGGCTTTCTGGTGTCAGCCCCAATCATTTGCTTATTTTATCTTTAATGGTTCTCGGTGTCATGACCTTATCTCAGAAAACCGCCTCAGATGACCGGGATCCTTCGAACATTTGATGGATTTTGAATGACTGAATCTGGCTCCAGTGTGCAAAATGGTGGCAGCAACAGCGGATAGGGCTGGTATAACAGGTTGCCAAGCCACATGTGGCATCACAGGCGGGTGTTCATGTTGGCAATGCGGTTCCAGAATCCAAACCTCAGGGTGTGCAGAGCTGTTCCTTGCATCTTCAGCTTGAATCCTGAACTGTTCATTCTGGCAAACTAATATCTTCACATGATAAAGGAAAAAAGAATAGGTGTGCCCAATCCCTTGTATGGCCTACAAAAGGAACAAGCGAGTATTTTTTTTCCTTTCATTTCTCATGAGGACTTATGCCTCAGTTATCCTAATCTGGAAAAAGGAAAGGGTAGGTTCCAGTAGTGCAGAGAGCATTCTCATTAATTCTGCCCTCATCTTAAACAAGATTTTTTACCTGAAGGACTTGAGTAGGTACAGAGAGGAGTGTTGCAGCTGAGCCTTGTGCTAGGCCAGCGTTAGCTGGGACGTGCCAACACAAATCACAGCATGTATTATAGACCATGTTGGAGTGGATGGTCACTAAAACCAACAACCACAGGCCCTTGAGATGCATCCCAGACCTCACTGATGGTATCTTACTGACTGTCAACACGTGTCAGAGGACTTAGCTGTGATCTCATGTTACTCTGGACAGACAACTACATGCCATAAATGACCCATAATTCTACCAAGCAGTCTTCCCTAAACATCATAGAGCACCTGCATAGCAATCTCGGGACCAAAAATTTCTGAATTTTCTTTCATCCAGAAAGCGACCAAGCCTTTAAAATGACTCTGAGACTGGATAGAGATACCTTCCTACCACGGTGTGTCCAATGTGAAGATTTACAGAGAGGCTGTGGTGTATTCTTCCCGTTCATCAGTGAGATTTGAGCATTGTACAAAAGTCACGTCATCATCTGGGGCCTCTTCCTCTCTTCTGAACAAGACAATATCTTGTTCAGCTGATCCCAGCTGATATGTGTCTGATGGGTCATCAGCTGGATTATACTGCAAATAACCACAAAGATCAAATATTGTGAATTGGCACTTAGAAAGAAAAGTGGCCATCCAAAAAAATCATTTAAAAGATACCTTGAAATGTGCCCAGATTTACTACAATCTATCAAAACCTTTAGAGTCTTCCAGACGTTTATTAAACTACATGCCACAGCACAGTCATCCATAATGACAGCAGAAGTGCTGTGGGGACAGCAAGAGCACCCTGTTTGCCTTTGATACCCTTCACAGTTAGCAAATGCTATTTCAAAAATCACTCGTTGTGCAAGGTGCTCTGAGCAAACTGCATCCATCTCATATTATTTCATTCAGATGGTTATAATAAAAACCAGTTTTAACTGCAGTTATTCTGAGATGCTAATGGAGCTCAAGGTCAAGTCACCTTGAAAAAGCACTTGGAATGTACTACACTTAAAATAAATGTGCTCCTGAGAATTTCATGTGTTTTCCAAAACTGTCGCCTAACTCAGATCCTTCAATAGTTTATGTTTGTGTGAGTAATAGCACTGAATTAGTGGCACTTTGCCAACATAACTCTGGCAAGCGAGAACAGAAATAGATCATAATTTTCCATATATATTTCTTCAAAGTCATTTATTTCATTTGCCAAGATCAAAAAAAAAACTGGCAACAAACCCAGAACTATTTGTAGGTTTGAAGCAAGATAATAATAACCTTTTCCAAATTCAGCATTTTAGAGGTAGAGTTTCTATTAAAGTTTACGAAAGGATCTTTGGCAAACTAATGAAAAAAAAAACCCAACAGAGAACAGGTTCATCATGAGGCAACTATAATTTCATATGGTTTTATTTTAGATGAGAAAAGCATTATATAGATCATATGAAATGACAACAGCATTTTTTTTCAGCTACTAAATCAGTATGTTCAGTATTTGACATCACAAGAAAAGAAAAAGGATGTGGACTAAAATAAAAATAATTTAAATGGCAGATTCTTTTGTTATCATGGTTAGTTGGTCTTCCTCTACTACAGAGAGAAAAAATATACGTTTCTATAAACATTTCTCGATTCTATGCACAGAGCACCTAAGTTATTTCTTAACTATCGATCCCATTTTTTTTTTTTTTAGTAAATTGGTGTTAATAAAGCAGCCAATTCAAAGCGCATCCTTGCTTAAAACTTGTGAAGTTAAGCACTTTTTTCTTAAAGCTTGTGGGTGGGCAGCGAGATGCTGCTGCTCAGCAGGAGGGAGAATGTTCTGTCATGCAATTAGCCAAATAGAGTGGAGAGAGAAATGATGTTAAAACACAGCAACTCAGAGCTGTCCAGATAGTAAGACTGTTGGCTGTACGTTAGAGAATATTAACTATTGATTTGGCACCAAAAAAAAAAAGCCTCGAAAAAAAATTTCTTTATCTCAATATGTTTCATGCGGAGACCTACTCTGAGAGGAGAGGCAGGAGTTGACAGTAAACTCTTCTCCTTCACTTCGTCGATTTAACTGCAGATTGTGAATGTAGCTCTGCCAGGAACAGTCACTGCTCGCCCAGAAGTTCTAAAGGGAAGAGTAAAACTATTAAACATTATGTGTAACCTGTTGCTTAAAACCTTGCTGCCAAGAGAAGGCCTTTTGCCAACATAATGTCTGTGCTTAGAAAATCTGCAGGGAAAATCCATGGGATTACAGAGCAGTCTGCAAGCCGGGCAGAAAGAAAACGGGTGAGTCGTGCAGCAATGTGAAAAAATTTCTGGGCATGTTTTCTGTGCAGCTTGTGTGGAGGAAGGTCACACATTGCAGCTTTAGAGGTCTGATCCTGTGAACAAGATGACCCAGTTCATATAAATGGTAACTACCTAATCACTGGGATGTGCAGGACACAGCCCTCCCTCATTTGGGGCAGTTACTGGTAGAAGTCAGGGGCTTCTGGAGTGACCCACAGCCAGAGGAAGAAGTAACTGACCCCATAAAGCAGGAGTTCAAGACCAACATGATGATCAATCAGCAGACTAGCGGTGTGGAGTGAAATGGAATAACATGACTGAAAGATGAGAAAAAATAGCAATGAAAGACAACTATGAATTTAGCCCCATGGGACACTTCGCTACAGCTGTTCTTCACTTTCCTAAATGTTCCAGAAAGTGGGGGAAAGGATGAAGTGAAAGGGCTTCCTGCTGATGCCAGGTCACTCAGGAGAAGAAAAGGCAGCTCACTTTAAAGAGTTGCAGAAAGTTATTGCTAATAAAATGGGAGAATAAAAATCAGTGACAATTAGAAACCAGTTAGAATTTGTCATGTACAGTGTAGGGCTCTGAATTAGCTATTACTATGCAGGAAAGACTACTGAACTCACAATAGATCCATCTATAAAAATATCAATTTAATTCTTAGTTGTTATAAAAAAAGGCAAATAAAATTACAGGAATTATTAGAAAAGGAAGGAGGGAGGTGGAGGAAAAGGCAACACAGAAACTCAATCTGCTATTATTTAAATCTCTGGTTACCCTTTGCGAAAGACTTTGGAAGACCTAGGAAACTTCTAGCCCAGGGCTAGAAGTATTAATTAAGCCCGTTTACAAAGAATGAGTGACTAATCCAGAGTTGTTTGGACACGACAGAATTATGGCAGGACAGAGAGGCTGAACACAGGTGGTAATTCACAGCCTCAGTGCAATCCCTTCAGTAGCGCTTCATGTCTGGAAGGATCCCAATGATCCACCCGGATCTGGTTCCCCCTCCTGATCAGGGACAGGTCTCTCCGAGGGCAAGAACTGGGACATCTTGGAACCTTCTCCCTTCCTCCATCCATCCCATTGCTTCCCTCCCCAGGTCTCGCGGGAGACACTTCCCAATCCAGTTCAGTAAGTTTGGGAGACACAGTGTCATACCCACTATAAAAAGTGCAGATTAAAGAAAAATTCAGAGAAAGTCCAGTCTCAAATAGCAACACATACATAGTAAAAAGTAATACAGGAAACACTGCTAATATCAACCATTCAGTACAACTGAAACTGGAAATATATCCAACTATTTTTCTAATGTAGGTCTAATAGAAGGTGCCGGGAATCGGGGAAGATCTCTAGCACATTAAGTATGAGTCCAGAACAACAATCTGACATCTTGCTTACAGAAAGACTCTAATTCCATCACAGCCTATTTAATCCACTAAAGGAACTGCTAAACAAAATTATCCGGCCCGTGTCTTGTAGCAGGTGAAATTGTTATAATAATTTATAATGAATTATTGTAATAGTTTCTTTTGATACACGGAAGTCTCAGACCAAAAACTTAAAGTTCAACAATCATTCCAATTGAATGCTATTTTTTGACAGAATGAAATGCCCTAAAATATAGAGAGTTTGTTGAAGTAACTCTCAGATAAGGAAAAAAGGAAAGCAGGACCGGTATTTTCTACCCAAGGGGATTTTCAAAGGAAAGAAAAATTGTGAACCAAAAGTTTGGGCAGCTTAGACTAAACTTACCCAACTTTGCTGTTACCTGTTAAGAGCAATAGCAATAACAAAAAAACTCTTCAGCTCAGCAGCCCTTTCCAAAAAGTATCTTCTACTTTTCTACTAAATCAGCATGTCTTTTTGGTAACAAACAATTTGGTTTGTTGAATTCACTTGAACGTGACAGAGAAATGTCCAGGAAATACTGGAATAATTCAAAACTAGGCAAAAAAAAAATTACATTTAAGTGAATGAGGAATGTTTGCCATTTAATGGAGTGGTTGATTAGTAACACCCGTTAGTTTAGTCACATGTAACCAAATGGACTAAACCTTTAAGTCTGTTCCAAAGATGAGGGAAAAAAAAAAAAGCACTTTTTCTTCCAGAGACCTTGGGGCCATATTCGAGCTCACTGCTCAATCATCATAAAAATGGAAACAGATTTTTACTTACATTTCTTAAATATAATTTTCACACATTTTGAGAGGCACAAATGGAAAAAGGAAACCAGACAGTGCCATTTTGGAATGATTTCCTACCACTATGATTTACCTGGAACTGGAATTGAATCCTGCTGGACTGAATGTCTCCTTCTGGTGAGACAGTTGCTCTGGGAAGTACATCCTATTCATTGATTGCCAGCTGGAGTCTGTATTCTGTCAGATTACAAAAGCTACTAGAATCTGTACAAGAAATAGAAACCATGTAATTAATTTGTTAAAGAAATGAGAATTTAGAAAATAGAACTTGAGCTGCAGCTTTCCAGCCTACTCTCCTACCTGCCCATTCTGGTTCATGGCACTGCACGTTAAGGCTGGAGATGCTGGAAAAGAAATCCAGGCTTCCAGTCTTTACGTGCCAGCTATTAGGGAGAGGAATTCCTATATAATTAGAAGGAATTCTACATATGAAATTTGTTTATTGCGGGGATTATTTTATAATAAAATGTTTTGCCATGAGCTATTGTACATCTTCTCTGTCTTTCTTGAAAAAAAAAGCACAATGTTACACATTGCAGGTTAAAAACCTCTGACATTGTTGAAACACCAGAGAAGAAGGTGTTTGTGTATTAAAAAAACCAGAATGAATAAAAAAAGATTTCTTCTAAACAGCCAGGATGGTTGTATTTTACACTAATGTTTAACTAATACACAGCAGTTTATCGTGTCATTAGGATTGTGCATAAGTTGTATATATCTCTTTGCATCAATAAAGTATACAGGTTTGTGCACACAACAATTTTAATACTGTACTTTCATGAAGTTTGATCCAAAGGACACTGAAATTAGTGCTTCTTTCTACTGACTTAGCTAGGTGTTGAATCGGGCACTTACAGAGCTTTTGCATGTAGTGAAGCACTTCACCAAATATAAGGAAGGGCCCTTGTTTTTCTGAGCCAGTTCACGGCCAGCCAGTCTTCAGTTTATTTTGAAAAATGCAGAGAAATGAATGGGCTTTGCAAATAAGCACGCCAAATCCTCACTGTGCCTTTCTTCCGTGCCCTTTCGTTCTGCTCCTCTCACTGTTTTAAATCTTGTTGTCTGAGAGACTGATTTATGGCTCTCATCACTTGCTGGCTCTGATTTATTGGCTGTGGCTTTCACAGGCTTCCTCCGAGAAACGCTGCGGATGCGTGAGTGGGAGCGAGCCCGCAAGGGGTTAATGCCATAATCTTTCTCCAGCCTGTTTATAATCCCAACGGTAGGGCCAGTCAGAGCAGAGGGTGGATCTAGGGAGGCGCGGGAGGGAGCGTGTGTGCATGTGGAGGTGCTTGCGTGCCTTGCTCCTCCGCACCTCGACTGCCGCGCGCCGCTGCGATAAACTGCCCTCCCTCCAAAGGGGGTCCTGGGCATTCCCAGCGGAGAGCTGAAAGAGCTTCCCGGTGCAGCCACCTCGCTCACATCCTGCCGAGGAAGATTTCATTGAGAAATGGTTGTGTTTACTAAAAGAATGGGCAAATAGGTACAAAGCAGCTCCTTTCGGCCGCAAAAGCTAACCTGGGGACACCAAAGGATGGAAATTGTGGGCGACAGCTTGCTTGGGAATGGCACCAATATTACTGCTTTCGTGTGTCATATCATCTTGGAAAACGACACTTTCTTCTGTGTGGATGATCCACCTTATCCTTCTAAAGGTATGTGTAGAAAATGGATTTTTCGGGCAGCTTTAGTTCTCACTGAAAGTAGAAATATTACAGAGAAAAACAGCTACACGAAGCTTTCCCTGGGAGGGAGTGCAAAATCAACCGCTCGCTGATAAGTTAGGATAAGAAACAGGCAGGCAAGGTTTTGGTATGTGCTCAAGTGCTCAGTTAAAAATCCAGCTAGAACAAATTTCAGTGTGAACAGAAAAGCAGAAATAGCCCCTCTACCAAGGGCTGGCAGAAACAGATCTCTTTTTTCACTCTTCAAACAATTCAATAACAGCAGAGTTATCTGATAGCATGAAAATGATTAAATGTGAAATTACTGCACTGTGGAGATGAGAAAAAATCATCCACATATTAAAATAGTTACGATTTCCACCTCGTTTCCCACTTCTGCATACAGGGGGAATTTCCATCGGGAGCGAGCGCTGCCTGCCGCGTGGCTGGAGCAGAGTGGGCATTTAGGAGTCGCACAAGGTTCCCCAGTGCCCACCATGCTGCAGCTATTGCACTGTAATATCAGGCAATTCAGGTAGACCAGAAGTTTAAGAATTTCAGAACTCGCACTGATTTTATGCTTTACAAAAGCCTCAGTAAAAGCTTTACCTTTGGCTTGAGGACGAAACACTTGACCGATGCACGTTCCCTAACTGACTTTTCACTGTGACCATTTTCAGATCTGCACCAGACCATTCGGATCCTGCTGTATGCTTTGATATTTCTGCTCAGTGTTTTGGGGAACATTCTTGTAATTACGGTGCTGATACGGAACAAGCGGATGCGAACGGTCACGAACACCTTTCTGCTCTCGCTGGCCGTCAGCGACCTCATGCTCTGCCTCTTCTGCATGCCCTTTACCCTCATCCCCAACCTGCTGAAAGATTTTATTTTCGGCAGTGCTGTCTGTAAAACCGCCACTTACTTCATGGGTAAGTCCTGGAAGTTCATACTTATTTTGAAGTTTATTTAAGGGGATATGTGAGAAGCTCATTAAAGACTACTAAAACCTGCCTATTTTCATTTGCCACTGAATAATCAATATTATTAAGAAAAAACTCTGTAGAGTGAATCTTTATTGTACTGATCTCCGTAGTCTGATCCAACAAAACACAGAGGCATCCACTTAATTTGAAATAAATACTGAAGTGCTTTTCTGGACCAGGCTAAGTGATAAGTATAGCTCAGGATCTAATCAGGAAGGTGGCACCTACCTTTGCTTCCCCAACACTGACACAGTCATTTCCAATCCCTCCACAAAAATAGCAGCATTGGGCAGTCCCCACTAACATCAGCTTTTGCTCACAGCTTTCTGGTACCACCACACAGAGAAACAGGGATAAAAAATGAGTCTAAAGTAGCTATTATTTGCAGAGCTGGCAGCCACAGCCAGCACTACTGAAAAATCAGGTATGATGAGAAGTCACCAGGAAACCATAAAGCACAAGGCCCTCAGAAAGAGCTTTTAGAGACTGGCTTTGAGAAAAGCCACACAGATATGCCCTGCTCTACCCTCTTTGGCGCTCGAGGTAGGGCCAGGAGTTTCAAACTGCCTGGACTACGAGCATCTGGGTAAGTGACTTTTGTCTCACTTTGAATACATCTTTTGTGCTTGTTTCTAGAAAGAAAAAGAGAGAGAGAAAAAGAGAGGAGGAGCGAGAGAGAAAAAGAGAGGGAGAGAGAAGAAAAAAAGAGAGGGAGAGAGAGAGAAAAAGAGAGAGAGAAGGAGAGAGAGAGAGAGAAAAGGGGGAGAGAGAGAAAGTGAGAACTCTGTGTTAAGTTTTGGTCACTTTGAACTACCCTGGGTTAATTACAGAAACTACAGAAAAAGTTCCCTTTTCAACCTGTGCCCTTGAGAACTTCAATGTAATGTGAAAGTACACAGTGAAAGGGTGGGAATGGGAAATCAACATGTTTCTGCAGATAAAACCAATAAAACTAAAGGCCGCGTTTAAACAAATTATAATGAATTGCTGCTACAGTGCCATAAAAAATTACTGAAGCCCCATCAACTTTCTCTCGTTTCACACTGCGTAAATTACCTTATAAAAAGTCCAACGAACTATTTTCAAATATTACGTTTTAACTAAGAAGATGTTTTATTTTAAGAACCCTCTGCAGACCGCTCTTTCCATGTTGCTGAAATTCCATGGTTAGACAGAATGAGCCCTTTCTCTTGGGCTCATTGGGAGTTACAGCACGGAACAGAGGTATCAGTACAGAGCTTTAAACCTCTTGCTGATGCATTTTCACTGACTTAATCAGTATGACATTCATAAATTATTTAGATTACAAGCATTTGCTATACTTTTTTTTTTCCTAAACATGCACAAAAATTTAACTGAATATATCAGGGATCGTTCAAAACAAGGCAATAACCTATTTCTTTATTTTGCATATTAGGTGTCTCCGTAAGTGTATCTACATTCAACCTGGTTGCCATATCGCTGGAGAGATACAGTGCCATCTGCAAACCTTTACAGTCCAGGGTCTGGCAGACAAAATCCCATGCCCTGAAAGTGATTGCTGCCACCTGGGGCGTCTCCTTCACCATCATGTCACCGTACCCCATCTACAGCAGGCTGGTGCCCTTCACCAAGTACAACAACAGCACAGCAAACATGTGTCGGCTCCTTTGGCCAAGCGACATCATTCAGCAGTCTTGGTAAGGCGCACACAGCTGTTAGCAAAGGCACAATTAACTAGTGGAAATTAGGATTTCATGGTGGCATTAAGCTTACTGAAGAGCAAGCATTACCCTTTAACCAACGTTCACACTTCTTTTACACTTATTTAGAAAATGGAAACATCTGTTTTTTAAGCTGTTTTTACATTTCAACACCTGTATGACTTTCGCCTTAGGAACAATACCTAGCCTGGCAATGGTTCTCAAACCGTGGCCTGCCAAGCCCTTACTGTCACTTTACTGAAAGCATCTATCGCTTTTCAAGTAGGACTATTTCTTGCTTTCCCTTACCCTTATGTAAACCTCATACTTTCAGAGAAATTCTTGATTAATCTTAGAAAAACACGGATGCACACCAGCATCCTCCTGTGTGCTACCTTTCCTATTAACGCTTGCCTGAAGGTCCTCAAAGCAGGCAAGGAGTAGAGGATGGAAATGTGGAGAGCTTACAAACGCCCCAGAGGATAGAATGAATTTGGCCACTTAGGATGATTAGGATGATTAAGATGATTAGAGTAATGAGAGGCAGTGCTCAAAGTGCTACACAGCCAAGTGGAGTAAGTAAATAGCAGCTTTATCCAGCAGCAGCACTATGTGTTGTGTCCTTGCATAACGGGCAAGCACATCATGCTGGGGAGACACAAGAGGGTTTTGGCTAGGGAAGATTAATGAAAGTGGGGAAGAAAATTAAGGCATGTGCCACTTCAGTATGGTGCATCCAGAGAAACCACAAGAAAGCTTGTACTGATTGTACTTGCACTTGTGCAAGAGTGTCAGGTATTTGGCAGCATGAGCACAGATGC